TCGACAAGATCGGCAGACCCGCCGTCGTTCTCGGTCACAGCCAGGGCGGCCTCATGCCCATCATCATCGCCGATGCCCGCCCCGAGCTGACCAAGGCCCTCATTCTGCTCGAGCCCACCGGCCCTCCCTTCCAGGAGGCTGTCTTCAGCAACAAGTCCGCCCGCGCCTACGGTCTCACCGACATCCCCGTCGCCTACTCCCCCGAGGTCACCGATCCCACAACCGACCTCGTCCAGCAGACCTACCCTGCCAAGGGTGAGAACTACGTCCAGTGCGTGCTCCAGGCTGAGACCCCCGCCCCGCGCCAGCTCGTCAACCTCGCCGACAAGCCCATCCTCCTCGTCACCTCTGAGGCGTCCTACCACGCTCCCTACGACCACTGCAGCGTCGAGTTCCTGCTGCAGGCCGGCTGCAGCAAGACGGAGCACCTCGAGCTCGGCGAGGCCGGCTTCCACGGCAACGGCCACATGTTCTTCATGGAGAAGAACAGCTACGAGATCCAGAAGACTCTTCGTGATTGGATCCAGGCCTTGTAAGGCTTTGGCGATGCTGTCAAAGCGGGCCGGTGGGTGTGGAGGAGATGGAAGATGATTGAGTGATGTGCTCACGTGTGTGCGTTTTGTACGAAAAGAAGCGGATACCCATAGACGATGAATATCATAATCTGGTAATGACACGCACTCGGTAGTCTCGTCGCCTCCCAGTCTCCTCATGCGATCGTCGAGGTTGGTTCGGATTACCGTTGTGACATCCGGAAAGATCTGCCCTTCAACCTGTAGCCATGTGCCCGTTGATCCCAGTGTCGGCCGAGTCATCCTCCATGTCCGAGCGCAACGATCTTTGACACGTTGACGTGAGCTGAAATGTGACTTGAGCTATATCTTGACAGCCTGGTTGAAGAAAAAGATCATCGCTGGCAGGGGAGGGACTTGTCAATATTGCTTCCGTCCCCTCCTGTTGAGTCGTTGACGCCATGTCATGTTTGTCCCCAGCGGGAGGTGGGAGATGAGTGGCTTACACGAACCTAGGTCTCGGCAAGGCAAACGGCCAAAGACTAAACCTCGGATTTTGACTTACACTTCTCCTAGCTCACCTCTGCATCTTTGCCTCACAGACTGTGCGCTTGGAGCATCATGTTAAGCTATGGCATCGCCAAACATCGCAGCTGCACCTCAATAGCGTTTCGACTAATGCAACTCAGCTCTGTAACAGACATTAGCACGGTTGCTGGAAGGTGCTGGTCCTCTAGTTTAAAATGTAGCTACCTGCCAAGCTAGAAGCTAGAAGCCTTCTAGTTTCTTGGGTTAATGACAGACTGCTCTCGCCCCTGTTGAGACTAAGAAAATGGCGACTACAACCAGTGTCATCGCGACCAAGGGAGCGAGCGATGCAGCGTCGGATTCGGGTCACTACACGATTGTTCGTAAAACGAGTATGTTAAGCTCACTTGAAGAGAAGACACTGGACACTAATGCTTGCCAGCAAATCTCGACCGCATGTTCTACGTCTACCATCGACTCGGAATCCAATCCAACGTCCTAGTCGCAGCTCGCTACGCCTCAGCACAACCGGGCAAGCAACGTCTGATCCTCTCCGACGACGCAGTCTTCTCAGCTCTTCACGCCGTCGTCACCAAGTTCCCAGAGCTCGGTCTCGTCGGAGTCGTAGGGCCAGCCGCCGAGGGGGGCAAGCATCTCCTGTCTCTCGCAACACTCAACGAGATTAATCTAGAGCGCTGCGTCGAGTTCATCGACGACGAGACGACTCAAGTCAACGCCGAGTTCCTCGAAAAGCTCCACGGCAAATGGCACTGGGCTGATGGTACAGTCGAGGCCGGAGTGCCCTGGTGGAAAGTCATCGTCGTCGGACGCCGAGACGTCGTCTTCGTCTATCACCACCTCGTCTGTGACGGCGCGTTCGGCATGACGTTCCACCGTGAGTTTCTGGATGCCCTCAACGCATCAGCCGTCTCCGACACGGGCCCCGCGCCACCTCGCGTCATCAAGCTCGATGCCGATAGGGTACGTCTGAGCATGGCCCTCGAAAACACCATCCATAAGAAACCGGCAGTCCTGGGCGTCATCTACAACCTCCTCGTCTTTCTCTTCTACCGGTTCTTCTATGCCAAGAAGCTCTTCTTCGTCAACTTCCCCAGGCCGAAAGAGCTGCTCAAAGACCCGATGGCCGTCGCTGGACCTGCAGACCGTACAGTCACAAAGGTAACGACTCATCGTATCCCGTCTGACAAGATGGACGCCATCATCAAAGCGTGCCGCGCGCACGACACAACCTTCACGCCCTTTTTGGCCGTTGTCGTAGCCGGCACCCTTGCAGCAGACTTTTATCCCCACGCCGAGGTCGGATTTACCCGATACGCCGTGGACATGCGCGCCACGGGCTGCTTTGACACGGCTTCCCCGGATGAGGGCAAACTACTCAACCTGGCTGCAAGTCTCCCCGAGCCGGAGAAGTTGAAGAAGTACCGCCAGGCCTTCTCGGCATCGTCCTCAGTGGGCGACAAACAAAAGGGACTCACCGCGACTGTCGACTCCAAAGCCGCCTGGGACCTGGTCCGAGACTACGGAAGGCGAATGGTGGAGTCGCGAAGTGGCGGAGATGAGTCTCACCTGTACAAGGCCTGGATCAGCGGCAACGCTCTTGGACCAAGCCTCGAGGAGTTCGCAGAGAAATTGCCGTCGATGGGGCTATTCATGCAGAACAGCTTTTCAGTCTCCAACGTCGGATGCCTCAAGACCGCGCCTCCGTCCTCGAATGTTGAAGAGCCGGTGGTGAAGATTGAAGATGTGCAGTTCTCGGCCGGCCCGGTACAAGGCGCCGTCGGTTACCATGGTATTGTGTTCAACGTCGCGGGAGTTGCGGGCGGCGATACTGTCATAAATGCTTGCACTGAGGGAGGGATGGCGCCGGAAGGAATGGTAGATGCTGTGTTGGATAGTGTTATGGCTAGAGTCAATGCATTGTTGCAGGAAGAGAGCAGTCCAAAGGATAGCAGTGCCCGCAAGGGGTTTTGGCATGCTTTTGGTTGAACCAGGAAGAATTGTACTGTTAGATAGGTGCATTGAGAACTAACGCATGAGGGCCAGGACCCGGTTCATAATCAAGCCTCTATTGATCGAGCAACTTGCTTTGAAGACCTCTCATATACTACATCGAGAATGCCCCCCGAAAAGAGACAAGCTTCAATGCCTGCCTGGTCTACTACAGATATGTGGACCTGGACATCCATCGCAACGTGGCTAGGGTAGTGTATTTAGACAAGGGCAGGTAGTAGACGACTGGCTGAAGCTTGCAAGGTAAGCAGTGAGCAGTGGTCAATATCATTGGCTACTGAGTCTGAAACTCAAGCTGAGTTGATGCGAAACCTGACTTCCATGAGACTCAAATTGTTCCCATACAAGTAGAAGAAACTCGTTGATTCGCCACGTGTTATCCATAGCTCTTCTTTGATATCATTCGTGAGTTGTTCCTGAAAAATAAGTCTATAAAGGAGTTGAGTTCCTACTCATGTACTGGAACCAGATCGACTCTATACCGTGCGCAACTTGATCGCAAGTTTACTACGAATCTGTGGTACTAATTATGCCTTGTATTAGTATAAGACTGCGTATGGAACTTAAGGAGCACTCTGGATGCCGTCCAACATTGCGCGACGTTGAAGTTGGAGGTGTATTCTGTCACCAGCGTCGGGAAGCCATGTTCTATGCCCCAAGTAAACACTGACGTATCATGTATAAGAGATATCATGTCTTGCAATGCTCACGTGGATTCAACCATAAGGCAGGTCAAGCCTCCTTCAAAGTACCTACTTTATGCCAAGGCTTGATATTGCGTTCGAATAAACCCACCACTTAATTTTGTGAGTCAAAACTTACAACACTCACCCAGCATCGTGAAGACAAGAACCTTCTTCCAAAGCTGACTTCCCGCCAAGGGACACAGCACAGCCTAGACCAATCTCCTCGCGGATCCGTCACCAATCCAGTCCAGAAGAACCCACCTAGTGTGTGGTCAGCCGCCGCAACCGACACCCATGCCAAATCCAGCTGTATCACCCGAGAAAACGCAATCTAAGTCTCGCATATTGGCATCCTGCATCACAACCAACACGAAAAGTAACTTATCAACTTTCCATCTCTGGCAGGTCGAAGCATCGAGAACACCAGGTACGACGACGAAAAAGCACCAACGAAACCGGTCCCATTAGACGGGGATACGGATCCTCGAGAATGGGTCGGCTCGATGGTATCCACCGTATCTGAGGTATTTGCTTGGCTGCACACTGGACGGCCCCTCGCAATCACAACGCTTACGCAGGATTAGGTAGCCACGGGAGAGCTTGGTTCCAACAAGACGGGGGCCGCATGTGGGATATCCGTACTCCGTACATGTGCACTTCCGCAACCTGCAGCGGAGCCTGCTGCCTGCATGTTTGCTTGTCTTTCAAAACTGTTAAGCTGCCTGAAGAGGCGTAGACGGCAAAGCTGCTTGAAGACTCAGGGAGCCTTGCGTGCATGCTTACCACGGAATGTTCGCCTCCTCCTCACCTCTCTAAGCGCCCCCCGAACCCGGTCGGAATACCCGTCGAATCGAGGCCTTGTCGTCGCGACGAACCGGGAAAGCGGGAACATGGGGGTTAGTGGGTTTTGAGATTTGTTTGCCTGCTGTGCCGTTGGGATGCATATCGTGAAAGTGATTGTTGGAACCGGGGTTTGGAGGGGTTTTTGGTGATATTGTGGACTGCAGTTACGATTGTTCCTGGCGAAGAAACCGAGAGACTATTGAGAGCCACCTCGCTTGGCGAGCACGCAGTGTGCTGCATGTCAGAACGTTGTGGACATACAAGTTTGGTATTAAAACGGCTGTGAGCGTCGTCGGTAAGGTCCTTTTTCCAAAGCTTGTTATTCTGCAGCTTTCTTGTTCTTCAGCAATTTGTGTTATCGTCGACGTCTTCACAGTGAATACTGTATACACTTGCAGGGATGGCTACCGCGGACGCGTTGATTGCAAGTCTTCGGGACATCAACGGGGAGAGCTTCACAGATAAGGCTGAGAGGATACGAGCCAGAGATGCGCTGTATGATGCGTTGAGAAAAGTCCAGACGCCGTGGGACATCGCATGGGATCACATCGTGGTCAAGGGTGGCGGGAACGCAGCGATCAAGACGCTGATCGACGCCGGCGTATTCAAAAAGTGGCACGAGGCTGGTGGTGAACCCATTACCTGTACCAAGCTCTCAAAGCTGACCGGCGCCGATGAGCACCTCATCCGTACGTCAAGAAATTCTCAAAGTCCCGTTCAGCTATGAGAAAGCAGAGACTAACCCGAGAAATCAGGACGCATGATGAGGGCGATAGCAGGCCAGCACCTCGTCATAGAAACAGACCTCGACACCTACGCCCGCACACCCTGGGCCCAGGCCCTCGGCGAGGACGCACCGCTGCCGGCCATGTACGGCGGCTTCTACGGCGAGCTGACGAACCCCATGTTCCGCTCGCTGCCGTACTACCTCAAGCAGAACGGATACCGGAACCCGACGGACAAGAACGACTGCAACTTCCAGCACTGGCGCGGGCCCGACGCCGTCTTCTTCAAGTACGTCGGTACGAACCCGCTGCTCACGTCCGACTTCAACGACGTCATGGAGTGCCATTCGCGAGATAACCTCACGGCGTGGACCGAGGTGTATCCCACGGAGAAGATCATCGAGGGCGCGATCCCGGAGAGGCCGTTGGTTGTTGATATCGGCGGCGGCAAGGGCCATGATTTGAGGAAGTTTCATGTTCGGCACCCGCAGGTTCCTGTGCGGCATCTCATCCTGCAGGACTTGCCTGATTTCCTCAAGGACGTCAAGTCCGATTCCGCGTTCACGATCCAGGCGTACGACTTCTTCACACCGCAGCCGCTGCTCGGGGCGCGAGCGTACTTCTTACATAACGTGCTGCACGACTGGCCCGACGCTACTGCGGTGGACATTCTGAAGAATATTGCCGGCGCCATGGAGAGGGGGTATTCGAGGCTGCTGATCCACGAGAGCTTGATCAGCGAGCGGGCGCCGCTTTCCAAGGTGACGGCGACGGATATGATTATGATGGCGGGGCTGGCGTCGGCGGAGAGGACGGAGGAGCAGTGGCGGGAGTTGATTGCGGCAGCAGGGTTGCGGGTCGTGAAGATCTGGAGGCCGGTGCAAGCGGTTGAAAGTGTTATTGAGACGGAGTTGGCTTGAGAGGTGTGATGAGATACGCTCAAGTGGAAGAAGGGTCTTTTCTTGTTGATGTATGTGTATTGTTTAGCAAGCGTATGGGAACCAGGCCTTTGGTTGAAATTGATGTAATACTCGGTCGAATATGGTAGCACTCGATTTTCTGCGCGTCTTGTAATCGATTGTGGTGATTCGGGGGTTTTCGGAACGTGGATGGCCGTAGTGTAGAGCCACATACTGCAACTCGACAGTCGCAGACGAGGTAGCTCGAAACTCGCCCTTATAGATGTGTAAACACCTCTAAAGCTGTTTGTTTAGCATGTCAATCACTACCCTTAGTCGCACCCTCTCCTAGCAATGCGTTACGTGTCTAAAGGCCCACGAATGAATAACTTTGAAATGTCATTGGTAATGTGTATGCTTGTGGGCAGCTCGACGGCATAACCCCTCTTGGTATCCTTTTATACGCCCTTGGCCGGCTTTCTTTCGCCAAACAGCCCCGTCCGTCTATCCTCCTCGGCCCCTCATCGTCGTCACGGTCTCGTGTTACTCGTATGCGAAAGTCTCTTTGATTTACTGGCGCGCAGCAAGAGCCTCGGCCGCGTGGCGGTCGTGCTCGGCAATATCGATGGCCTCCCAGGGGTAGTTGATCCAGACATCGCCGACGGTGCGGGCGGCGAGGTAGTGACCTGAGGTCATCATCTCGGAGGGAAGGGTACCCTTCTTCGCCTTGTCCTTGTTCTGTATTTCGCTGCGTCAGTACGTTTGGTTCCCTACGAAGTGTACGTTTAGTTTGAGGTTATGACTCACGTGCAGAACAAAGATGCCAAACTCAGTCTTCTGGCCCTTCCCAAGACGCTGGCTAGCAGCCTCGACGTCCTTCTCCAGCTCCTTGACAGCGTACTCGAGGGTAGTGCGGGTGTCATCGACCTCGTCGACAATCAAGATGCGCTTGCCGACAAGGTTCTCCATCTCGCCGATAGCGGTCAGGTCAAGCCATTGCGTGCGAGTGACCTTTGTGCCAGGGACCTCGGGGACGCCCGGGGTAGAGTTGCCGCCGAAAGTCTCAGGAAGGCTCTCGTACAGAGAGAGACCGATGGCCTGGATGGGGATGTTGGGGTTGCCGGGCTTCTTCAGGAAGGAACGGAGGATACGGGCGGGAACGTAGCCGCCGCCGCCGATTGCGATGATGAGCTGGGGCTGGAAGGTCTCGAGGATCTTGACGGCGGACTCCTGGCAGAGGTTGTGCACCTGGAAGGAGAGGAAGAACATTCGTTAGCCCATGTTTTGCGACACCTTGCACGAATACGGAGACCACTGGAATAAGAAAGCAACAGCGCTAGGGGCTCGGAAGAAGGAAGGGAAACCATACATCGTTGTACGTGACGTAGAGCTTCTCGACCATTTTTGCGGTGTTTGGAGGGGTTCTTTGACTCGAATTCGGTCGGCGGACGGGGTGTACTGCGGGGTAGGAGGAATGCTGCAGATTTGGAGATGTCTCTGACGTCTGGTATTTGAGAGGATGTAAAGAAGAAGAAAGAGAACGGGAGGAATGGATCGTGTATATGTCGAGGGGGAGGAAATATACAGAAGAGTGAGTTTAAAGTGGAAAAGAAGCTTAAGTAGGGAAGAATGGGACCCGAGATTTCTGCCAGTAGAGAGAAAGAGTGCCGCTATTCACACGCGAGACGAGGACGGAAGAAAAAAAAAAAAAGATGCGCGCCAGGCTACCAGGACCCCTCCATCCATCGCCCATCGATGAGCAAAAGGGGACCCCGCCATCCAAACATGGATGGATGGGCCATGGCGGCGGGCACACTTGGGAGAGAAATTTTGTCTGGCGAGCCCCGAGCCCCGCGATGACCAGCGGTTGCATTAGACCCGCTTTGGCAAGGATCTGGCTGCTGCGCCCCGGATGCCAGTCATCCGACTGTGGCTTGTGAATGGCTGCTGACCGATAGAGTTCTCACCGAGGCTTCGGAGCCCGCCGTCGCTGTCGGTGAATGGACCCCACATTCGCGGTTTATTTACCAATGAAATCGGCGTGACTCTCAAAAGGCAGGGATCAAAGTGTGTTACGCTCCTTCCAAAGTTCCATCCCGTCCCAAGTGAGGAAAGAGCTTGTTGCTGAATTTTCTTCCCCTGCCACCTGCCACCTGCCACTGAAGATTTCACGATAATTTCCAGGCTTAAGAAAACACGCTGTAAATGTCTCCTTGTTTCGCTGTTGCCCAGTCAGCATCGAGTCATGAAACGACGAGAGTCTTTTCCAATGTAGAGTTCTCGATGTGGAGAGCGTTGGATTTGATGACATGCCAATTTGGCCCCACTCCTTCCCGACCCTGGCCGCCGCGAGAGCCGATGGGAATGTTTGCTGCTACGTTTGCTCTCAACTTCCCATCCCTTTCTCTGCTGTCGAGGTGAGTAGCTTGATAGTCTTGACGTGTATAAGTTGGGCCATGGACGACCTCACAAACTCATTCCCATGATAGTCGGGTCTTCTACTACTTCAGAGCTGGTCTTGAGAAACGACTGGGCGTAACATGGCATATCTTGCCTGTCATTGACTGTGTTCTCTCCTAATAACTTTTGGTATCCCTTCGTAATAGCTCATCAATCTCAATGAGCCTCGTGTCCTCGTGAACGCAGCAATCATCCTCCCAAAAGAAACAAAGCTCAAGACAAAGCTTGGCACAAACATAACCTAGAGCGTCTTCAGACGCGCGACCAAAACCTTCATAAGCAACTTCCTCAACTCCTGATCCCGATATGATCCCTCCGGCGCAATGTCCTCCTTCCACTGAATGATAGCCTCGCTGACAATCAAGTATGCCGCCCAAAACGCGTCAAAGATGCCAGGACCAACACCAGGCCGCGGGAAGAAACGCTCGTTCTCCTAGATGTATCCAGCCGGATCTCCCACGAAGCCGTCTTCGTTCCCATTGGTTGCCAAATCGTCCATGTTTCCCAATCCACAAACCCAGAGCTGCGGCTTGTCCTGCATGGGATCGTACGCGAGCCGGAACTTGACGTTGCGGGCGTCTTTCTGTAGGTCGTGGTGAATGATAGCGAGCGCGGTGCCCATCTTGCGCGCGAGCTCGAGGACGCCGGGGCGTCCGATGAATTTGAGGAGCTGGTCGAGGTAGGCTGGTCGCGTCGCGAGGTTCGGGTGTTCTTTGAGCATCTCTCTAACCTCGGGCGGCTGCGTCAAGCCAAGCCAGATCTTTGGGTGGAGATTGTAGTTCTCTGGCATCATGAGGGCCTCTTTCTGAAAGTCGCGGCCGACGGTATGGTCGATGATGATGCGGATGATGGTGGGCTTGATCGGTCGCATTCTCTGCATGACGAGCCTGCCCTGCATTTCGGGAAACGGCTCGATGAGCTGGTCGGGAAGGTGGCTAGAGCCGTCCATGCCTTTGATGAGCTTGAATTGGCGCGGCGCGGCCGGGAGTACGAGGCGTGAGAGGTAGGGGTGGTCGTCTCCCAGGATCTCTTGGACTTGCTCGTGGAGCGCGTTGGACCAGTGGCTGAGGAGCGTAGCAAACTCGTCGGCGGCGAAGAAACCCTTGCTCAACTTCTGGTAGGAGGATCGCTCCTTGAGGGCCTTTCCATCCTTCAGCATGTAGACCTGCATCTCCCACGCCCTCGAGTGGTAGATGAGGCGGAGTCGAGCCGAGTGAGCGGGAGGAGAAGGCGGGCGGGCCCTCTCGTGGGGGAGGAGGATGTCCTCCGGCGGATCGAGGTTGTCGTCCTCGTCCTCGTCCTCGTCGTAGTCGTCATCCGAGGAGGAGGAGGCATCTTCCCAGTCCTCCTCCTCGCGGATGACTGGCCTCGGGTTGATTGTGCCTCTGAATGCCATCTTTGGTGGTGAGATGGTTAGTTTGGAAAGAAGGAAAAGAGGGAAGGGAATAAGTACTTTAAAAGGCGACCACTGGCACCCTCAGGTGCTTAGTCGTCAGTATCCGCATTAATCTCACGGGTTTCAGAAGCCCTAATGAGGTCGGCTTTGATGAATCCGGCAGCCAGGGCGAAGGCCGGCTTGCAGACGGGAAGTTGAAGTTTTGCAGGCTTGTGCCAGCGGCCAATAAAGGCAGGAATCCTCTCTTATCACTTTCCGTGACCAGGTCGTTCGTATTCGAAACACCGTAACGAATACAAAAACGATAATGAGCAATGATAGCAAGCAATAATAATGAGTTACGACAGTAAAAGGAACTTAAGGAGAAAGGCCAGAAAGATTAATGGGCAGCGACTGTGACGGGGGCTTTTGGAGGGGTTGACAGTCAAATACCCCGTGAATGTTCACTGTTGATGATAGGGAACGACCACTCAGGTTTGTGATGAACCCCAGAAGCGAGTCACTACTTTGAGGACCATGGCTGCCGTTCAAATCCCGTTAAGAGACCAGGGTTGAACCCTTTCATAGTGCCGCATGTGTGAAAAGACTGAAAGAGAACGCAAGAAAGCAGTCTGAAGTGTGAGTTGAAGATGGCAAGTATAAGAACGAGACGAAATGTAAGAAGAAGGGACAGCATGGGGATGAAAAAAGGTGTAACCAAAGAGGTCAAGGCAAGATCGACCAGTCGATATCTGACACTCAATGTTCTACTCCAACAGTATGTAAAGATTATGGCCATCGCGAAGACGTGTTTTTATCCCTCAACTTTGAGATGTGACAAATCAACTTGTATGGCAGGTGTACAGCCTCTCATGCTCTCGTCCCTAGTTCCAGTCTCTTATCTTCGGACGCCGCTAAAATCAAGACAGGAGCCGACAGTTGGTAATGGGCGATTGTGGTGGTTCCTTTGCGAATGAATATTTCGGAATCTAGTTCGATCGTGGTATTGTGTATTGTGATAAATGTCTATGGATGACGCTGATGATGACTTTTGGGGACGATTACCTCAGATGCAAGCTATGAGACGAAGAAGAAAGGAGAAAGGACCGAGGGACCAAGTACTGTCACCCTCAGCCTCCTGTTGTACCCTCTTTTTCATGTACAGCTTTCAACTTCTTCTCCGTCTTCATAAACTCTCGGATGCCTACAGGAACATCGTCATATAGCTTCTCATCCCACATATTCTTGGCAATCTTGGGATCCTGTGGCACCCAATTGGTATCGGAGCCACCGCCGTCGTCATCCATGGTATTCGAATCAACTGCCCCTTGCTGCTCTTTCAACTTCAGCTGTGCCTCCGCATTCGCCGCCGACCAGTCTTCCATTTCCTCTCTGTACCGTTCCCATACGCAGTTGACACAGCCGCTCATGCAACAGTTATCCGGCTCTTCTGGCCGTGGGGGAATCATCACCCCCGCTATCGTCGTGCTCTTGGAACGCAGCTCCTCAAGACGCTTCTGTCGAGCGGCGGGGCCGGCTAGGGCGGAACCGAAGACAATGGCGGCCTTCTCAGCCGCGGTTTGCGGCGGTGGCGTCGGCACCGGCTGTGCGGAGAGAGCTTCAGCAACGGGTTCGGTGGTTTGGGTTGGATTTGGGCTTGGGCTTGGGGAGGGAGGCGACGTCTTACGGCCTTGCTCCTGTTTGTGGACGGAGGAGTTTGGGGGCTCCTCGGGCTTCACATCGGGAATGGGTTGGGGGTCATTGAGGATCGCATCGTAGTAGGCGCCCAGCGGGTGCGCTTGGGTCTGGGAGGGCTCGATAGGTGCCGGGCCGGTTTGCGACTGGCTCGTGACGAAGGCGCCTCGGGGCACACGGGCGATGCGCGGCACAAGAGGCCGGAGGCGGGGGAGAAATCTGGCGGGTGCTGACATATTGAGTGTGCTCCGTTGGTATGTCCAATTCTAGGTGGGTTGAAGCTTGGAGATGGGCATTATTGGGGTTGAGTGAGGCCGGCCTGCTGTCACTGCAGAGGCGAAAGAGACCAGGGCGATTGGAATGCGGTCATCAAAGCCTCGGACGTCATCGGTCTCAATTCGCTGCTTAGGTAAGGTAGAAGTAGAAGGTACTGTCACGTGCTCTCGCGTCTGCACTTTGTACTCCGTTCCCATCATGCCATGCGAGGCAAGGAAGGGACCTATAGTGGAAGTCCACGCGACTTGTATCATCAGTATAAAAAGGATCAGCAATTTTCGCGATTATCCTAGCAACCCGAGAAGCAAATAGAGAAAAAAGAATTCTAAAAATGGTTGAAATTGAGTAAGATTGGGGGGATGCCTGCACTTAGACACAGGCTTCCTGGAGCTCTAAGAGGACCTCCCCTGTTTACCTCCCAAGGCCTGCCCAATCAGGAAAGCGGTGGGGTCGCATGTACACAACGCGCCGCCAGTGCACCCGCTGGACGAGACCGTCGCGCATCTCACCGAGGTGCACCACCACACATCAACTTCGAGGTGCCAGCTCCGCGCTGATATGCTTCAATAAAGCCTAGTTTGATCATTGAGCATGGACGAGTCCGCGCCGAAGCGGCGGAGGGTTCCTCCCCGCCTTAGTAGAGAGCGCGACGACGACAATAACGAATCGACCACTCCGCCGGACCCTCCCCCACCACGATCGCGAATACCCAGGAGACCCTCCTTCGCGTCGCCAACTAGAGCAAGCCTTTCTCGGACGCATCCCGATATCCTACGAAGAAGAAGTCGAAGTTTGAGTCCGTCAAAGGCCGGTTTCAACAACTCATCAACACAATCTACCACCCAAGATGTTGCTGGCGAGGGTTCAGCCGCCCAACCCGAGAGCCAGGCAGAGCGATTCCTAGAAAGAGGGCCTGCGCGCCCGAGGAGTAACATGTCAGGATCAATTGCGGTCGAGTCAACCAACCTGGGCTCTCCAGCGCGGCGGATGGCTCTTGAATCGAGGGTCAGCGGGGCGCTGGCGTCTAGGCCACGCCGATCTGGTGGCATACCGGTTCCCAGGCCACTTCCTGAACCTGGACCCAACGATGATGAGGACTTCAATCCTTTTGCTGGACGCGTCTTGAATCGCACACCCCCTCGTCATGGTGCTGCTCTTGGAAGAGTACCTCCTCGCCAGCCCGAACCTGAACCTGAACTCGACCAGGAACCCGAACTACCGCCTACGCCCACGCAGAGGGGCCAAGCTGACCCTGTCGTCACGACACCTCCCCGCGGCATCCACGATACACCCTCGAAGAAGAGGCGGCGGAATGCTTCACCATCTAAGAGTTCGCCACTGAAGCAACCGCCTCTCCGACCACCCGAGTTTTCTCACAAGGCGCAGGAGCCCTCCAAGAAGGTCATGGCACGGGCTGCCCGAGAGAAGAGCCCTACTCAGATGGCAAAGCAGACAAGATCAACAACCGGTCCCTCTGGAACACACGAGGCGCGTGGAATACCAGTGCCTGATCCCTACTCGGAGCTCAAGGAGACGAGAGACGCGCTTGAGGCGGAACTCGCCAAGTTGGAGGCCGACCTGGAACTAGCAACCGATGAGAACGAGCGAATACGCAAGGCTCAGGCTCGTCGATCCGGTGATGTGCAGCCTTTGGGACGTTCTCGTCAAAACCAACTCCTCGACTTGCTCCGCCGTCATCTCGTACCACCTGAGAAGGAAGCTAAGCCAGATGCTGCGCAAGGATGGTTCGACATGGCCATGAATCCAACATCATGGCTTTCGTTTGGATCTCTAGGACAAGCTCAGCTTTCCATACCAAAGGAAGAGCCAGAGGATCTCCCCACTCCGACTTCGCACCACCCCATACAGATGACGGCCGTCGATGAGCTTCCATACCTTCAAGCCTTTACCCCCTTTGAATTTTCAGCGACGACAAACATGCTGCCGAAAGAAAGCGATTCCGATCCTCTACTTCGGAAACACAACATCGTCATTAGATCGGCTCATCCAGCGGGTCTGTTTATGGCCAAGATGGAAATGACGGTCGACACGGAGAACCTTCGAATCAAAGAGCTTGCAGTACCCCGTCTAGACCCTGCAGCTGTCGCGGAACTAGGCCCTTTTGTCGAAAAGGTCTCGAGCGGAGGCTCCAACACTCACATGAACCGAAATGTTAGCGTGGTGACTTGGGCCATGTCCGAGTGGTATAGAGTCGCTGTCGAGAGAGCAAATGTTTGGCACACCCTTGACACCGAACTTGGCGACAAAGAAAAGCTGGCGCAGAGCGTGGCGAGGATACGGACACGACGGAAAAAGCGAAGGAGAAAAGATGACGATGAAGAAAATAGCCAGGACGCGGATGGTATCACCGAGAGGAATCGGACTGAGAACCTGCCTCGGTCAGTACTGTTGCCTCATCTCGGGAGAACAGCCTACGAGATTCCGATACCGGGTGCCGTGAAGGAAGAAACATCGTGTTTGAGATTACAGTGGCGGATTGATTTTGACTGGACGGGCGAGGCGCAAAGCAAGGTTGGACTGGTGATTGGCATGCCTGGCAAGTGTAAGTACCCCAACGCTGTCCTATGTCACATATTCGACTAACATCAACTAGGGCATCTAGGTGACGAGCGCGGTTCACTCGCGGCAGCGTCCAAAGTTTTTGAAAGATTTGTTCGGGGTAACGAGGGACCGATGACGGCGGTACGAACTGTCGTTGCATTGCTGGCGGGAGACGCGTTGTCTTGAAAGGATACCTGGTTCTATGGAGTGCTGATTGCTGCAAAAATAGCCTCATGCGTTAAGGTAGATGGACACATTATGCAACCCCAATGGAATGGTGTTTCCATTATCGAGAGACTTCCCCCTCCGTTCTCTTGAGCCCAGTCTCGACCTCTACTCAGGCCTGTCAAGTAAGGGAAGGTACGTAACGTCGCATGTGTATGTCGATCATCAAGGTCTACATGGAAAGAGAAACACCACTCCTACTCCTACATATAAAGGAGTTGGGACAAAAAAAGAGTTCACCCCCCCGGTGCCGATTTGGGGGCTACATCTCTTGGTGCTCATGCTGGGATTCGAACTCGGGAAATCGGTAGCCTGTCGTCGAGTAGGCTATGGGCGTAATTAATTGTTGACCATAAACCACTCCACCACCCAGCCAGTTTGACCCGACCCGTCGACCTAGACGGGCGCCTGCTGGCTGGTGACAGGATTGGGTTTGAGGGGGTCTATATGGGCTTCGTTGGTGGTGTATTCAGTTGAATGGGTGAATATATGTACAAGCACGAGCGAGCAAAACTTTTACGCGAGGTGAGCTGTTCATGTTTATGGGTTTTACTTCTATTCGGCTAGACTGTCTATGGTCTCGCGACCAGGTCTACCTACTATTGCAAACTTGCTACTGAGGGAGTCATTGACTTTACCCCTTTTCTATGTCACTAATCACACCCCCGTCTGAGGTTCTCGAACCTAGGCAGGAGAAGCTCACGCCGTTACTAGAGTCTAGTAGGAAAAGCCGCCAGGGGGACCACCCCGGCCGCCGCCAACACCACCTCCACCGCGGCCGTATGGCCCATAGGGACCATACCCTCCACCGTATCCGCCCCCACGTCCACGGCCCCGGCCGTTGGGACTACGGGTAGGGCTACCATTAGAACTTTCATCGTCGGAGCGATAGCCGTTAGTATAGCCATTGGTCATGCCGTTCTGGTTAGGAGAACCACCGCCACCACGACCATAGCCGCCCGGTACACCAAACGGAGCCGCGGGAGTGTTCCGGTACGCATCGCTGGCACGGGGACCTCGACCAGCGGCACCAGACATGAATGCTGCTCCACCGCCATTGGAGGGGCTGCCTCTACCGTAGCCTGTACCGTTCATGGTAGGCCCAGGAGAACCCCGGCCAATACCAGCGTGGGTGAACGGCGGGCTGCGAGGGGCGGGACGCATTGGAGTCAAGGGGTTCTGCTGTCTGTTCCTGTTGACTCCATTCATACCGTTGGGCGAAGGGCGAAAGGGGATGTTGTTTGAACCACCGTTGATGCTAGGACCTCCGCCGTAGGTTGGGCCGGAGAACCCTGCGCCATTGTTGGCGTTGCCGGTAAAAGCTGCGTTGTTGCGAGCGGCGCTCTGATTCATGTGCCAGTATGCGTCTAGGACGGAGAAGCCGTTCATGTTTCCTGGGGAGAGACGGCGTGGGGGGGTGTCCCCGTTGTTGGAGCTGTGGCCGCTTCTGGACATTGTGTTGAGTTCTGGGGTTGTGGTTTTCGGTCTTGATGACAGATGTTGTGTTTGCTTTGTGCTTGTGCTGATTTGTGCGTTTGTAGAATCTGTAATGTTCTTGGTGATGGTTCTAAGAAAAGGGCTTGGCTCTGTTGCTGCCAGATTATTTATATAGAGGCTAAAAGACATTGAAGTGAATCGATGCTGGCGGTCCTTGTAGGGTGAGTTAAGAGTTCGTGATGCGGTGGTTTTCCCATAAGAGTGAAGACTTCTCATGTCGGACGAAATTTCCGCCCGCCATTCACTGTGCAACTCGAGTAGATGCTTTCGCATCGTAGAAACGTGAATAGTCTCTTCATTGGATACAGAAACCCATACTTCTTATTCATTCTCTATAATCACTGAGATTTTTTCAAGACGCCATAGATGAACAGGTTTCCACTAGTCAAGTAACTCTGTTATGGCGAGGAGTAATTGAGATTTCAAGGCTGATTGATAGAGTAGACTCATCAGAGTCGAGGAACTTCCAAGGCCCACCATCTGTGGTTCTTACCGCTTCATCAATAAGTATGATACAAAACCAAGTATGAGATAAAATCGCAAAAATCATGTTGGCAGCTTCTGATATAGCAAATGTGTGCGCCTACTCAGTGTTAGACATGCACTTTTCAGCACTCCGGATAAGCCAAAAATGCAATTCGCACCTACTTCAACACCTCCAATTCAAGCTTAGAGAGTTGACTATACGGTTGCTATGAAGCCTTTGATTACAGGATGGGTACATGGTTTTAACGACACCATCGTCGTTACTAAAGACTTCGTACCCGGGCAGGGTTACAAATGTAACCAGACCCAGTGATCGGCGAAAGGCTGACGGTTTCTCGACTGTAAGTCATCTCGCTGCTTCTATTTGTCGTTTTGATCTTCTCAGGAAGTGAAGTTAGGTAAGTCAAAGCGAATGTATTCAGCATTAGCCAGCGGTTCAAGCCCATATGAGAATGCATGTATCCTCAACCAATTGATGCTGAGTAAGAAGAGCAGCAGGCCAACTCTGGAAGCCAGGACTTCTACTGAGCGCTTTAACCACCATTACAAGATTTAGAGTAACAGTGATGGCAATGTTAGATATAGTGACAGCACATGTGTTCAAGTTGAGCTCGCAGTAGTGGTTTCAACGGCTTGGATTTCAGACCGCCAGCGAAGTCGGATTTGGACCGTTGCCAACTAAAGTGGTGATTGTGCGCACTGAAGGCAATTGCTAGCTAGTTTCCAAGACCAGAATATGGAATAAAGGCCATGAAGCACTGGATTATATCACATTGTTAACTTCATGCTTGAGTGCATTAACAATATAACCCCTTCAATGATAGCCAGATCTAAGCTCCCACTGATGTGTGCATAGAGGCTAGGTGTTCTCCCGTCATGAAAGGGCAACTGTGAGGCCGTTCTGACGTCTCAGGATTCGATACCGCAATGTAACGCTGACAAGCCATTCGCATCGTCGACGGTCTGGGCAAAAGTTTAACCGGCAAACCATCCGTGCCGCTTTCGGCATTGTCGCTAATGAGTTTGTTGAGATCCCCGAGACTCTGGTTAGGGATAACCTTTGGATCACTACCAGCCAGTGATCCCAACCAGGCCTTCAACACGTCAACACCCCGCTGAGGAATTTGTCGTACGGAAGCCTGTTCAGTCATCTCCAGCCATGGATCGTTGAACGGCATAGCCAGGCAGTATGGAATATTGCTGCCGAAAAAGTTCATTGGCATCGGACGAAACATGCGTCGTCGAGACTCGGCAAGCTTCAAGTACTCCAGAATCCAGGTCGCCTCGTTCAAGTTCTCTGCCACTTTGTTGGTATAGTTGGAAATCCGAATTTGATGCTCAATGAGAGGCTTCTCCAAGTTGCACAAGAACTCAGCCTCTGGCCATTCGTCTTGAAGCTTCTCCAGATCCCCTTCGTCAGCCATTCTCTTCCTGACAGCATCGATGAAATTTTCCTCAAGACTATAACTGTACACGGATTCACCGGTCGTTGGGTCTGTCGTTGGCGTATTCAACAGTTCGGCCTCGACGGGAATGTACTGCATCAACTTGAGACGTCTCCAGGAATAAATCGGATTCCAAAAGTCAACCATCTGCAGAGCGTTAAAGGTTCTCTCGGAAAAGAGTTGACAACGGGCTGACTCTTTGTCGTCTCCCAGGAACATCTTCTGAGCAGCCCATACGCCATGCGCGTCATCCACAGAGCTTTGAAGGATAACCCAAGGATTATCCCCTTCGCCCCATTGCTGAACGGCGAAGTTGACTTGAGCTCCTCCACGAATATCCTCTTTGCCGTTTTCGAGAGTTCCCATGAAGATACCACCGGCAAGACTGTTCGCTGGAACAAAAAGCTGTGCGTCTTGCACGTTGGCTACCTCCTGTAAGGTGCAGAGCTTGAGTTCTCGTGAGGCCCAGAGATACGACGGCCCGTCATACTTGAAAGATGAAATGGAGTACCTTCTAAACCATTGTTCTTGAGTCAGGTAGTTCTTCTCGTCGTTTTTGAACTGTTTCTCGTTCCAGGCCGTCAACGCAGCTGGGGTATCCTTGAGTATATGGGCAGCTAGCCATTGGTCGTCATGAAGACTTCGGTTGGGCTGCGATTGTCAGCAGGTGCATTGCGAAGGTGTCCTTCTTTGCCGAGAAGGAGTCGCAGTGGAACCAGAATAACCTACTAGAAGATTGCTGTATCCTCTGAGCATTTCATAGCTGAAGAAATGATCCGACGGTACAATGTTGGCATTGTTGGAAGTAGCAGCAATGTTAATGTTGGTCGTCAGGAAAAAGTGTGCTGCCCAACGCTGGATGTTATCCGGACATGTTTTAGTCTCCCCTTTCTCCGTCAAAAAATCCTTGTTCCGCCGGCTAGTAAACCAGACTCTAAGAGAGTCCAGCACTATTCTTTCGAAAGTTTCACCAGATTGTACACTTGCGCCGTAGAGAGGAGGAAAGCCAGGATAAGTGAGCCATCTAGCCTCCGTAAGCTCTGAGATGAGCTCTTTATCAAGAAGATCTGTCACTCCTCGGCCTCCAACAAGCCAGTGCATCCAAGGCCTATGACCGAGTCAGGAGATTCCTTGGTTTGTATCAGCCTGATGATAACTTACTTGTGGATCTCTTTCATGACGATTCCTCCATTGACATGACCATTCAAAGGACCCAGGTATGCCTTGCCTGGAGCATCGAAGGCATCCATCGAAGAGCAGAGATATACCCAGCCATGCTGAGTTCTGGCTTCATCATTCATGATAAGATCGCGCTACCATCTCCATCAACTTTGCATACGCAACAGAAGATGAAGGTCCACTTACAGCATAGTACCTGAATTGGCCATCATCACGCGACCAACTCATGATGTGGAGGATATCCTTTTCGGAGTGGATAGAAGAGGAGCTGAAGTGTTAGCCGGGAAGAGGCCAAACTGTTGACCCATTTACTTACGCTGCTATAAGCACAAACCAGGGCGCCCACGAAACAGATCCAATTGGTGCCTTGCCATCTTTCTTATGGTTTGCATCAGTGGGAAAGATGACGGAGATGAAACGAAGCTCGGATCTGAACCAAGGCTTCTGTTTGTTCCTTGGAACTGTTTGACCGTCTGCAACGGCGTAAGTCTGCAGGATTATGTCTGGATCCTCTGCCTATTGTTAGAATCAATCAGTTCTGACGAGGAAAATCCACGTACCCCAAAACTGGGTCATCAGCTCATTGTACGTGTTGTGCTTCCTGAACGCCTCATCAGTCTTTAGGCGTTTGCCCCAATAATCAATGAAGTCGTCATTGAGTTGTTCAGGCGTGGCGGGCGTGTCTTCGTCAGGATACGGCTCTTTTTTCTGTGGCTTTATCCCACGAATGAACTTCCGATACCAGAGTTTCTGGTTGATATCTTCAAAATTCCCACGCTTAGGGTCAGTCATTGTGTCTTGTGTAAGTGATGGGATGATAGTTGCTGCAAAAGTATAGCAAGGAGCGCTTGAAGATTTATGCTGAAAATTCAAAACTCTGGATGTCTACCGGAACAGGGTAAAAAACCGCGAGTGGCCAAGTGCATTGGTGGGACAGCTGATACACTGCAAGCAACCTCATCAAGCTTCATCACATCAAGTCTCACTCCAGAGGCCATTGAAGGCAGCGATACAGATGTGCAGCGCATTAAGAGACGCTAATTTGTGATTCAAACATGCGGATGCCCTCTGAGGTGAACCTTTGTAACCAGTTGTATGTGCCCGATTAGCAAACGTGCATTTTTGTGGCTTGCTCTCGAGAAGCTGAATTCCATTTCCGTCAGAGGCTAGGCTCGGCCCATTCATTAGCTTGTAGTTTACGATATGCGACCAAAACATTGGCGATACCCCGCACGCACCAGACCGTGGACCAGACATAACCTTCCCCAACATAGGTAGAGGCCTGTGACGACGTAAGCCTTCATCTTGCACTATCAACTTTCGATGAGCGTTTGATTCGTCAACATACGCCATGGCATGATGAGACATATCAGAGTCAATAACTGTGTCTCAATACGAGCTAATCCGGTGAGAGAATGTGCAGCAGGGTTCATAGGCCGTTCGATCTCAGCCAGCCTCCGAGCGGCCTGACTTGAGAATCTGGAACAAAGGTATGCATGGTGTATCACATAGCTCGGAACATTGCTTCCGGCCAACTGTAGTACAATCATCACTTTCATAGTATTCGAGCATGTCCAGAAAATAGAGCAAAAGCATTTCCCCTTAAGGAGGCAACTCATTTCACAAGTTGACTTAGGCTTCTCACGTATTCCTTCCCTAATATCTTCACTTTTATCGATTCTCCACCGAAATGTCTGGACTCGAAAAGCTCGAGAAGTTTCATCCTCCTGCCTTTTTGGATGATTTTGAGGGTGAACAGCTTGGAAGATGGTCTGAGACTGTTGATGGCTGGTTCGGTGACGAGATAGCAGGCAGACTCGCAGGGAGGAAGATTCTGACTCAATTCTTCAACCCTCTTCACTTTGCCTACGACTCGTCTCTGCCTCCTGTACCCATCACTTGGGTTGGATTCCCTCTGAATGCAAGTTTGTTTTTACCAGCCTTCTGTGCACTCGTCTAACTGGTTTTCAGGTCAGAATCAAGCAGCCTACGGATGACGCTCGATGGGCATACGCAGAGGATCCGGAGAATCAGCGCGCTCCTCCAGGACGCTTGAATCCTGAGATTCTGAAGTTCCATAGGAAGAACGAACAAACGGGAGAGGATGAAGTTGTCGAGGTATCTCAACAAAGGGAGGATCGTTGGGTGATGGACGAATATCTTGAATGGTCAACCAAAAGGGTTGATGGAGATGTTCAAATTGTGAGCTTTACTTGCGAAGGTCCCGAGGTATGTCGTAACCAATTCTCTTTACACGAATAATTTTGGTGCTGACTGATAAATAGTACTGGGAAGAGCTGGCCAAGCATAATCCCATTCTGACCGAAACTCCCATTGAGAACCCAGCAACCCAAGAGTATGAGAGGAACAACAAGATCCTCAACATTTACAAGAAGTTGAACCCCGATTTTGCACATGAGATCAAAGGTGATCACCTAGTGGACGACAGAGGCAACTACAACATCTACAACAGGTGGAATGGGCACACCAACACTGGTACCATTGCCCACCTCATCCAAATCAACAATAGTCTTAGTGCTGAGATTGATATTGCTGCTCAAGCCACTGTTACTCGAAGCGACTTGGTGTACGGAGAGCCTATTACCAACATGATTACCCTTTGCGGAGATGGGTCTGCCTACGGTAATCCGAGCAGGAACTCTGACCCGACGGCAAGAGACTCTGCTACCCAGTGAGAACTACACACAACTAACCATGCGTAGATTGGTGCCGCAGTCAACGAAGTTTGTCGTCTGGCTCACGATACAGTGTGTCCTATCCCGGTCACAATCTCTGTCAAAGATCCTGTCGCTCTATACATGTACGACGCAGACTTCTCGTCCTTCCTATTAGATCGCACCGGTAAGCGAAGAGGAAACATTCGAGAAATGGTCCCAGTTCCCGAAGGGGTCTTTGACTGGTGTGATCGTGGTGATATTGCCAAGAACATGGGCCTTCATCTTCGCGTATCTATCCCAAAAGGCCTCAAGACTGATGACAATACCCGCGACCTTAACCTGAGCGATCTTTTCGACCAAAATAACGGTGGGCGCTACGTGCACTATGGAAGCCAATTTGCAGATTACATCTTCATGAGTGTTTCTGGCGTAGTTGGTCCAAAGCCCCAGGAAGCTGAAGAAGCGTGGCCTGGGAAACCTCAGCCTGCACTTACTTACACTGAGCCGTACATTCAGAAGCCTTTTATTCAGCCCAATGTTTTGGGGAGTCCTGATCTATTCAAGAAAATGGGAGAAGTCGATGCGGTCGTCACAACTTCTGATCAGAAGGACGACCCGAGGGTTGAGTTCAATGCGGTTGTCACAACTTCTGATCTAGAGGCAATGGACCTGAGGGTAGAAGCAAAGGATGGACCATCAGGATACATGGGTATGCCAGAGCCCGGTCCTCCTAAAGGGCCGGACTACCAATCCATCACTCCAAAGGTCATCTATTAAGACAATGGGGAGGACGTCGAGAAAAATTGCCAATCAATGGCTTTAATTGCACCCAAGCACTGGACACTCAAAGTAAATCTTCGTTATGCTTCCAAGATTCTTCAGATCTGGCCAATGTTAGGACTCGCATTTCCCTACCTTAACTCAAGCTGTATAGAGGCTGTTTGAATCAAAGTGGTTCGTTGCTTTCCATAAGGTGAACAGCTGAAGACCCTGTATTTTCCACCACATTGTTGACTTGCAAGTAGGATGTCTGCTATAGGCCGAGGCGAAAGTCATTCAAGGGAGCTGAACTGCAAACAGCCTTTTTCTCTTGTCTCGTATTCGGTCAGCTGCATACTCTCAATAGTCAATCTGCAGATAGCTCAGCTACCTAGGTTAGCTCGACGCCACGTAAGACGCAACTGGAGATCTGCGCTTCCAGACCTTCGAGTAGCAGATAGAAGGTATGTCTCTCGGCGACTTATCGATGATGCAGAGTCCATTATGCAACCAAAGATGGTATTGTAATACCAGGACGGGAGTTCAGCTCGCCACTGATATCAATGTCAGCCATTCTGGCTTGGCTCGTGGGGTCCGCCTTATCTGTAGCCATTAATTCATGGCACAGAGTAGTGGCAGACCTCTACATCTCGATGTATCTTTAGACCCCACACTTTATATATATCGGGATTTTGAATACTTCATTCATTCAAAAATCTCACCTCATCGCTCAACCTATAGCAATTTCAATTATTTCCTCCAAAGGCCATTCTGATTCTATTCAAATTTAGCATCCCACTCTCTTATCCGCAAAGATGACCACTTTAAAATCCCCAGTGTCTATGGGAGACGTTCAAAAGACACCCAACTGGGAGGACGACATCTCTCCTCTTATCAAAGCGCCCTATTGGGTGACCAAGAATCCCGAGGTAATTGGTCAAAGGTGGATAAGCGAAATGCTTTACTGGGGCAAATGGGACCTTTCCAACTATGACGACGTCAGAAAAAGGGCGCTTGGTATCTACAGACATCTTCGCTCTAAGTCAATGCCCGTAACTCGAAATCCAGATCACTATTGGCCAGAGAGTGCTCTCGAAACATTTCGCATGTGGGCAAACAATGATTTCCCGCGAGACTCCAACTGCCAGCATACACAAACTCCTGTCCCAGTTATTCCTGATCCCAATGACCCTCCAATATCCTTCAAAGTGAGGAAAGACATCATGAGCCTGAGCCGCGAGGAACTTGCGATTTACCAGGCGAAGCTAGACGACATTCTCGGCGCTCGGGAACTGGGGTCTAAATGGCAGGAATTAGGAGTTCTTCGTGAGTTGACTATTATACTGAAAGAACGGGATTCAATGAGAGAAACTTGGCTAAATATATGTTGTAGATGCATACTGGTGTCTTCACTATCAAGAAGCCACGTTCCTTTGGCATCGAGCTTATCTGCGATATGTGGAAGAATTGATCGACTTCCCTATCCCTTACTGGAATGGATATGCGAAAGAAGCTGCATGTGCAACATCCGAGTTTGCTGGAATTCCTCCAATGTTCCTTGAGCAGACCTACCAACACCCTGGAGGTGAGACCAGAAAGAATCCGCTTCGCTTTGCCAAAGCCTTGGACGGAAAGTCAAAAGATGGACCGGGTAAATTTTGTACTGTGACACGAAATCCAATCTTGACGCAAGGCCCGACAGCTGCTGGTTGGAAAGAGAAGATTGAGCTATTCAAAATCTACCATGAGCAAATATCCCATGCTCTGCAGCAATCAACCTATACAACGTCAGAATCGGCTCAGCACTTCGGAATACCATGGGCCAATATTGTCGATTTCAGCGACAAGCAGCCTGACGAAGACTATCCGTTTCGTTTCGACTTTGATGGTCTGTTTGAGCAAGTTCACGATAACTTCCATGGCTGGGTTGGCAACGACATGGTGAGCCATTTGGCCTCTGATTCATCTGGTCACTATTACTAACACAACGCTAGGCCGACAACACTTATACTGCCTTCGACCCCATCTTCTTATCCTATCACGCCAACATGGATCGACTAGCTGGTGTTTTCATGGACGCAAACCCAGAGAACCAATTTACTTCTCGATTCCCACTGCAGCCTTTTATCAATAATGGGACCAGCATTAGCTACGATGACACGCGCCGCTGGCACTATACCACTATTGGTGATATGGCCAAAGACACACGTGCATTGGGCTACATGTATGGCGAGCCTGCAAGCCCTGACTTTTCCACAATTAAAACAGCTGAGGAGAAGGGCATTCGTTCTGCGGTATCAAGTGGGGGACAAGCTATTGTCTTGCCGTGTGGTTTTCCAGGCAAGAAGAAAAGTTCTTTCGACATTGACTCCCTCAAAACTTCCGGCCCAAAGAAGCTCGTTCCCTATGTAATCTTTACTGAAGTTGGATGCACTGTGTCCAGCTACAGGATAGACATTTTCACTCCTGGAGCCAGTTCGACATGTCCTGATGCTAAGGGCAACCATGAATTTATCGGGCAGGTTACACGGCTAGGGATGGGACGAGGAAGGGAGGACTCAGGACCGCCGAATACAGGCAGATGTCGCAAGCCAAGTGCAACTAGAATTCTCTCCGCTGAGAAGTTCCAGGATCGACTCACTCGAGGTGACAAGTTGAGAATCATTGTAACAGATCTAGGGACAGGCAAACAGGTTGAGGAAGGAGAGTATATGCAAATGTCAGGGTTCGTTCCGAAGCTGGTGTGGCTGCCGGTCAATTGAACGGAATTGTGGGAGGGAGTCTTGGCTCACCCTTTCCTGATTTCTTTTTCATTTACCAAGGACTGAGATCGACTCGAAGATTTGAGATTAGCCGAAACTCACATGAGGGATCGGCGGACAGATGGACGATGTATTGGCGCAAAGATTGCTCACACCATGACACGGCAGGCCGCATGCATGACGCTGACCAGTTAATACTGGCCATGAGGACACCATGGTAACTACCATATGCCGGAGGCCAGCAGAAATAATAGCAAAGACAAACTTGATGTGGATATGTGTGACCTCACGTCGACGCAACTGAAGAAAACAATCTTCGACATTGCGGCAAGCCGCCGCAGCCCCCAGCCCGTTTCCTCAGTACCTGTATTGTATTAAACGCCATAGCCTCCTTTACCTCTTCACATTTGACACGATATCTTCTATCACAACTAAAAGCCTCGCAATCACATCGCCACTTGCAATGGCAACATTAGGTTTTCTCAAGCGCAGTCTGAGGCATCAGGCTGCAGCCCATGAATCAATAGCAACCCAGCCCTTATCTGATGCACAATATAGCGCCGGCTTTAGTTTCTTCGAACCAGGTTCTAGATGTACGGCATACCGAGACTTCATTCTCCCTCAACTATGTCAGCTCATCAATACAATTCTTCACTCGCGTTTGGGCATCTCGGTTCTAGAGATTGGGCCTGGACCAAGGAGCGTGCTTGGAGACCTGCCCCGTGATATGAAGCGGAAGATCAAACGGTATACCGCTTTTGAGCCAAATGGTCTATTTGCTTCGAGATTAGAAGAGGGCATTCTATCAACTGAGGAGGCTGTCTTGCCGTGTCTTGAGACGGCCCCCGACATCAGGCGGACTCCGTTCAATCCCGAAAACTCCCTCACTACCTTGAGCGACGACAAGTTTGATGTTGTCCTGTTCTGTCACAGCATGTATGGCATGAACCCAAAAGACGACTACATTTGTGCTGCACTCAATCTTCTCGACGAACATGTAGCAAACGGCAGGGCCATACTTTTCCATAGAGATGGCCCGCTGGGCCTGGCTAGTCTGGGTCCTCATCAAACCGCCAACTTCCCGACCGGCACAATTCGCGTGGCAGACACCGATGATTCGCTGGACTCTTTCGCCTCATTTATTGCAGGCTTTGTACCAAAGTCCGACAAAGTCCTACAAGAATGGCGGAAAAATTGCCGCGCAGTCGGCCGCCGCGACATTGATGACCTCGTCTTTGCTGCGCCTGATGTCATGATGACCTTCTCGCGACACTCGACCGCGCTGCCAGATTTGACTTCACGGTTGCCGTTAATTATTGGGGACATACATGTCAAGAACCGAGAAGCTCGTCTCCATTGTCCCGCCTCTATGATCAGACCAGAGCACATCCAGCAAGTTCAGGATTGTGTTCGATGGGCTTTGGAGCATCGAATTGCGTTGACAGTCGTGGGTGGTGGACACAGCGGTCATTGCCTCTGGCCTCACATCGTCGCCATCAACATGAGCGCCTTCAACCAGGTCCAAGTTGTTACAGGGGAAGCTGGAAGTTTGGTCATGGCCGGTGCCGGTAGCAAGACGGGAGACATCATCCGCGAGACCATGGCAAAGGGGCTCACTGTGCCTCTGGGATCCCGGCCAAGTGTTGGAGCAGGCTTGTGGCTGCAAGGCGGCATCGGTCACCTGTCCAGACTTCACGGGCTCGCTTGTGACGCTATTGTCGGTGCGCTTGTCGTCAGCGTCGACTCGGCAAAGATTCTATGCATCGGTCATGTCCCTGCACAACACCGGCCAATCGATGCCATATGTCCGGAGAACGAAGAAGAACTGCTGTGGGCCATCAAAGGAGCGGGGTCGAACTTTGGTATCGTCATTGGCGTCGTCTTTACAGCACAGCCAGCTTCAGCGTTCTTGGTCAGGAACTGGGTCATACCGCTGCGTGACGGCGATGAGGCTCAACGCAGGCTTGCGGAGTTCGACCGGGATATGGCCAGCCAACTGTCTCGGCACAGTTCCGCTGACGTGTATCTATACTGGGACACTGGAAAACTCCATCTCGGCGTGACCATGTACGAAGCTTCGACTGCTGGGGAAGTGGCTGGAACCCCTATGCCTATTCCTACGCCCATGGCCACGATTCTGGGTCCGGAGCACAACATCAAGATCGTGGACGGCGTCGGTCTCTTTGAGACTGAGATGTATATGTCAGGCATGCATGGTGGCCACGCTGGAGGCAAGACGTCTTCTTTCAAACGCTGCCTATTCGTCAAAGATATCGGAAGGGACGTCATTGCAAACGCGTTGGCATCAGCCGTTCAAAATCGCCCCTCTCCGCTCAGTTACCTTCATCTCCTCCAAGGCGGCGGAGCAATCCGCGACGTGCCGAAATCAGCCACCGCCTTCGGCTGTCGTGACTGGGATTTTGCTTGCGTCATCACCGGCGTCTGGCCTCGCGAGGAAGACAGATCCGTTGCTGCCCGGGGGGCTATGGAGTGGGTCTACAACGTCGCCGAGACTTTGCTACCGCTCAGTACCGGAGTTTACGGTGCCGACCTTGGACCGGATCCCCGGGATGCGGCACTGGCAGTTAGAGCCTTTGGGTCGAACGGTCCTCGTCTAGCCCGCTTCAAGTGTCTCGCCGATCCGTGTCGTGTACTTGCTTACACTTGTCCTCTTCCCCTGAAACCAATGGAACCAGGCCTCATAATCTTGGTTACTGGGGACAGCTGTGCCGGCAAAGACTACTGTGCTGAGAACTGGGCGGACGTTTTCAACCGATGTAGCAAGACTGCGCGTGTTGCCAGTATAAGCGATACCATCAAGTGGGAATTCGCAGCGGCTGCGGGCGTGGACTTAGATCGATTGCTCGGCGAGCGAGAGTACAAGGAGAGGCACCGGCCGGGCTTGACAGCGTTCTTTCATGACCGCGTACGTGAAAACCCTCATCTACCAATGGATAACTTCCTGGACGTTGTTTACGGCGCTGCGAGTGTGGATGTACTGCTTATCACAGGCATGAGGGATGAGGCACCGGTCGCAACTTTGGGCCATCTCGTGCCGAATAGCAGACTGATTGAGGTTCGTGTCAGTGCCGGATCTGGTGTCAAACAACTACGGCAAGGATTCCGCAATGACATAGAAGATTGCGATGGCTCTCGGAAGGAGGATGGCAAGCGGAAAACGCGCGTTAGGGACTACAGACCCAATTTGTCTTTCCACAACGATATCGCGGGAGGTGACAATGCGAGAGCCTTTGCAGAGAATCGTCTGCTTCCATTCATACATCAAGACCTGAAACGGCTAAGCGATATGGTGCGTATCATACCAGACTTTCCAAATCCAGGCATCGACTTCCGCCACATCCTCGACATTGCTCAGACCCCGGGCGGTCTGGCATTATGCACCTCTCTCTTACAGTCTCACTTTACGGGAGCCTGGTCAAATATCAACGCCATCATCAGCTGCGAGGCGGGCGGCTTCATCTTTGCGTCAGCATTGGCGTTGCAGGTTGGTCTGCCGCTAGTCCCAATCCGAGAGGCCAGCAAGCTGCCGCCGCCTGTTGTTTCTGTCGCCAAATCTGTGTCTCATATCTCATCGGGGCCAAACGTGCTAGAAAGAAGAAGAGTTGAGATGGATCAAAATATGATTCGGAGTGCAGCGTCAGTTGTGGTTGTAGATGACGTGTTCGCATCTGGGGAAACGATGTGCGCGGTTTTGGAGCTGTTGAAGAAAGTAGGACTAGAGGCTGAGAAAATCAGTGTGATGACGGTGGCTGAGTTCCCATGCCACCGTGGCAGACAAATGCTACGCAGTCGTGGGTTCGGGCGAGTCAGTGTTCATAGCCTCTTAGTTTATGACGGGTTGTGATATTAGCAATACGCGGGAAGGGACATTTTGAGCTCAGCTACTCAACGTGATAGCTTGAGAGGAAAGGTCGCCAGATGTTTGCAACGATATCAGAACGTGTTACTGGTCTTACCGGTACCAGGGCTAATTCTCATCGATGTTGAAGGCTCCCCAAGTCAATTTAATGATAATTTGGAGGAGTACAACTATCACTGGATCCACAAGCCTGCAGAACGACATCCGACTCTTTGGTAACTGAGAAGCAGAGAGTACTAGTTTTCCTCCTAAGCTGTCGCATGAATCCTCATAATCATGCAATGTCTCTTGGCTGTTGGTTGGCAGTCATCCTGTTCTGCGATAACAATTACCCCGCGTTTGTAAGGCGCAGGACTTTCCAGCCGTCGCCATTTCTCTGTTTGCCCTCTGCAAACATTAGGTCCAGACTTGACTATTCCTCAAGATTCATCTGAGTCATCTTACTACACCGTCAAGTCACCCAAGCCTTTACAACCTACACCATTCTCACTCCAAACGCATCGCCAATTTTCACCGCAAGTCACCACAATATGATCGGTTCAGAGCTCCAATACTGGGCTCCAAGTGGGGCCAAATTTCCCGGAGGACCCAGCACATGGTACATTCTCAGTGATGACCAGAGAAGAACAATAGCAGTCACCATGGATGGAGAGCAAGAAAGCGAGGATCTAGCCGTGGAAATCCTCAAAAACCTCATCGATACTCTCCCAGCTGATGTGTACGCAATAAAAGTCTCTCCAGAAGGGAATTTGATTTCCATGTCCAACGACCCTGAAGACGACGAAACCTTTTGCGTATATTATCCGCCTCTAGAGGAGATTCAACGGCCTGAGGGTATCAAGACAATCGTTCGCTCCGAGTTAAAAGAAATTGACCGATTTGGCCCCGACACTGATCTTGTGTCGTACCAGGCACAGCCAGAAGACAACGAACCAAAGAAAGTCGTCTTCAAATACTACTTTCTTTTGCAGTTCATTCATAGGGTGTGGAATGAATTGAATCTGTGGATGCGTCTCCCTCGGCACCCAATCATTGTGCCTTTTGATCGGCTGGTGGTGGATGAATTGAAGGGCCGCATTGTTGGCTTCACGAGTGTCTATATTCCTGGACAAACACTGGAGGACAACCAATCCCGCGTGTTCAAACTCAAATGGTTTGAGCAGTTGACTGGTGTCGTGGACGTTCTCAACCTGAAGCACGGCATCATGCATCAAGATATTGCCGCAAGGAATCTACTGGTCGATATGTCGACAGACAACCTGCAGCTATTCGACTTCAACTTCTCGGGTCGTATCGGAGGCACCGGGTACATCGAAAATCGAAACGATGTCAATGGTGTTATATTCACCCTGTACGAGATCATCACTCGCGATGACCATTTCAGGCAGGTGCCCCATGAGGAACAGAACCCGGATGATGTTCAAGGGCTATCCGCATGGCCCAAGCATCCAGAGGTATAGCTCGACCATCCGTTGTTGGAATATCGATCACATCTCAATCGTTGGGTGAAAAAGAGGCGGGAAGAGAAAGGTATTTCTGTTTATACGGAAGGGCCGGAGCCAATCGACTGGCCTCCGCTCCAAACTCCGAGAAGAGAGTACATTGCCTTTGATAAGGAAGGCAATGAAACTGTTCAGCTGGAAACGAATTGATGTAGATTACGCCGCAAGGAGAGAAAGGAAGGCAACATCACGCTGGAATGGCAACGTCCACCGCGGAACAAAGTTCCGCAGGATGATAGTAATTAGGTGGGAAAATCAAATCAGAAGACTACAGTGAAGACACTGCCCAAGTAAAATCCTTTAGAGCAAGCTCACATTTGGGATACCTTGACTCGGATTATGAGCAAGACTTCCCTCGTTAATTCAAGTCTCATCAGAATGAATCATATTCTGTCAAATGTCTATTACCCTTACTTGAAATTGAGGTGAGTTCAATAATACTGAAGTATTTCACGGCTATCTCAAGACTTATGGAACTCATCATATCGATGTGATATTTCTTGAATACCAGCCTCACGCACTGGAACCACTTTCTGGAGGAACTCCTCCTTACGCAAAGGCCCCGGCCAGCCGCACTCATAATACAATTGCTTGATACCCTTGAAGATTCCATAAGTAGGTCAGCACTCACGGTTATGCACATGAGAAGAAAGTCAACAGTCGATGCACATGTGCGCTTACCTCTGATCCAGAGTCCCCGCTATGCATAATACTCTTCCCGAGATCTCCTACCGCAGGAGCAGGCACAAGTGTCAGAGTAGACATCTGGGTTCGAATCTTGTCAAAGAACTCTTTGAACGAGAGAGCCTTTGCTTTGAGCCACCACATTTGCTGCTCGTCGACCTCAGGAGGCTCGTCGTCAAATAAGTAGTATTCATCCGCGTGAGGATAGACACAACCTGACGATGAAGACGCAGTGGATCAGTACGTATCTGGCAAATGTGGGGGTTTTCATTTCACCTCGATCGGTATCGACAACCCAGGTGATTCCTATTTCCGACTCCTCACACGTCAGGGTGATGAGATGCGGTGGCATTGGTCCATCGAAAGGCGCCAGGCCAAGTGCACAGAACGACCTCTTGTGCCAGTTGACGCGACGGCCGTTCTCGGGCTGCCAGTGCTCATGCAAGTAGGAAATAGCCATCGACGCGAAACAAACCTCGGTGTTCTTTTTGCGGGGATAAGGAATATGACGAAGCAGTTGAATGACCTTGATGTCGCGACCTAATATTTGCAAGGCGTTCACATTCAGGTCTTCGGCGGACCATCCCGCGGGCTCTGGTGGCCAGCGGACATCTTCGGGCTCGAAATAAGCCATGTCAATCAGCAGTTGATAGTGTTTCTTGATGAGCGATACGAGCTCATCGTGGTTATAGACGAAGTTTTCGGCTTTGGTGGTACGCTTCTTGCGGCGGGTCATGGCGAGAGTGCTACTTGAAGGAGTGGAAGTTGTCGACGCGATGATTCACGTGGACTGAGCGAAATGAGGGGAATACGCGCTTGGAGAAGCGAGGGTGTCAGGTGCACTTCTATAGGCACACGCCTATTGGATATAAGGGATTTTTTTTTGAATAGACCCGGCATGCAGGAGACAAATCCGATCGAACGATGCCAAGAGATGTGCTCCTATCATGCAACGCACTGTTTACTGGAAGTCGAAATCAAGCATAGGATGCGTAATATAAATGCATGTCAACTCAACCTCATGCGTTGACAAATACCTTCTGGATACAGCTATGTCAATAAGTGCATTCACAACAAACCGCGGTAAGATCTTCCTCAAAGGCTTTTTGTCAGTAAACTAAGTACCTATTTAATGACAAGGTGAGTTGCCTGGCACGGGATCCCAGAACAAGAGTTGATACGATTGATGTCATTCTTACTTCGTTCACTTACACCTACTCAGTTACGTAGGTCTGACAGGTTCAGTATCGCTTTTCTAGAAACTCCGATTATCGCCATTAAAAGGGTAGGTGCTATTTCACAGTCAGGCATAAGTACGTTTTACATCCACTTCTCTTGAAACCGTCCAAAGCCAACATGAGAGACGCACATCTTGCCTCCTCACTCAAGTGGTTGAATAATCGCAAGTAATCCGCCTAGGTGTGAGTTGACTCAGTACATAGATGTGTACTTTCATAAGAGGTGACAACAAGCACCCGCCTTCAGTTCTCCCGGGAAATTAAAAATATAGAATGGGGCTGGGTTAAAGAAAAACTGAAGAGCTCTGTATCGACGTCAACTCTCACTGCATGGGATAGAACCAGTAGTGCAAAAAGACAAAGTACTCTCTCCTTCCAGAATCGAACTAGAGACCTTTCGATGACAAGGGATAAACCATTACAGTCGAACGTGATGAACCAACTACACCAAGGAGAGGACGATCAAGGCTACGCCTTGCTCGATGTGGGAGTGCCGGGAAAAGAAATGCCTCAAGAAGCACGGAGAGGACCCACCGCTTGACCCTTGTCACCCACCTCGAGATTCAGGTATTAATTAGTGTATGGGTCAATTAAGTAATGATATCTCAAACCCTCTATTCAAGAATGTTAACAGACTCGGTACTTTATTGAACTCTCAAAAGTGGCGATTTATTACAGCTTCTCTTAGTCTGGTAGATATGATCGCGATAGTGCAATAGTTGAAGCAAAAGCATTTAATCCTCTTTGAACTTCATATGCGGAGAATCTTGGACTCCGCGTTAAACAGGACATGTTAGGCTTGAAAGAAAGCGCTAAGGGTCGGATCTTCTTTGAGATCCATCTGAAACCCTCTTTACACCATTATTACGCAATAAGTTATCATTTATGAAGTAGTGCATTCTACGCTGACCGGACAAAACCAACCGTCTGTACCTGTTTTCGGCCATTTTGCAGTCTCAAAATGGATAAGAATCATCGTTCCGAATCAGATAGGATCACGGGGATATATTGAGAAACGTGGACATCATTTCAAGCAACCTTTAAGCAGAGACTCCTGCTAGAGACTTCGTACATTTGGCACAGATACTTTCGCAGCGCAGTTGAACGTGACAACTAACGGATTCCATGTTATCAATCTCGAAACTAAGTGGACATGAAGCGTTCAGTGACTGATGACCAAGCTCAGTCCCAGAACTTTGGCCCGAGGTAGGCGGTAAAGGCTGCATTGTCTCCACCTCCCGTAGAGACGATTGATGCCATATTATGCAGGCTTGTGTCCCTCTCATCACCGCTATTTCAACCAATTAGTTGTTGTTCATGAGTATTGAAGCACCGGAACGAGCTTCCGCAGCAGATTTAGCACTCACAAAACGCATTGAACAGCAGCCTCAATGTCGTAGTGCCCCAAACCTTGCATCTGTAGCAAACGCTGGTAGCGACGCACAATACCGGGCTCGTCGCGCGCGTATTGCCATATAGGCACGTACATCTTGACTATCGGGACTGCGTTGCCTGGCACCAGCTCAAATGTTGGATTAAGCCCACAGTATTTGCTGTCCGGTTCGCAGAGAGGCTTTTGCAGTCCGTCCCTATCAGTCAGAGAAACGTCTTCCATATCCATAAGGAGGGGCCACAGAGTATCTAGAAATTTGGGTGAGGGGATGCGACCACCCATGGTGATGACGCGACGGGCCGAGGCAAGCGAGTTAACGTGTGTGTGGGTGTAGACCTTGAATCGAGGCTTCATCTGAGGCCCTAGACAGTCAATGGCAAGGAAATGTATGAGATTATCCTTGCCATCAGAGGTGAGAAATGTTCGAACCATTTCCCACGATGCTAGCAGCTCCTTATCACCATCGGCAAGTCGTATCAGAATGGACTCTGTAACGTCTAGTAGGTCCCTGCCTGTTGCAAGAGCTTTCAGCTGCGGAAAAAGATATAGCTTCATGTGAATAGCCGGGCTGCCGGTATCAACGGGTTCAAGATCGAACGCAACGAAACAATTTTGCTGCGGCAGCGCACCAGCCGCGTCGCTGCGGCTAGCATGTTGCTCAAGTAGGCCGGCCTGCTCCTTTTCAGTGAGGAAGACTGAATCGAAAAAAGCATCCAGCCGCTCGCGGTCTGCATGGCATGCAGCAGCCAAATCTTCACATTTCTTGCGTATATCCTTCTGTCCCAGGGGGTCATCGACCACATGGCTATTCGCCAGCGGCTGTACTGAAAACCGTACTTTGGCCTTTTTATGAGGTGCAAAGGCGATGCTCAGCTCATAGGGCCCATGGTTGTGCGTTCCGATGTAGTGCGGCCAGTCGGCCGCGCGAGGCGGGTTGAGACGGGGAACCACAACCTCACGCGCAAAGTTGAGATAGTACTCCTGCGACTGGGCCGAGTAGGAACCCGTCCAGCGTAAGAGCGATGATAGAGTGTCTTGAATGGTGGGATCCCATGAGGAGACGAGCGGTTTTCCTTCGGAATTTCCTTTGATGGCAAAAGAGTGGTCGACTCTGCTGTAGAGATTGGAGATATTCTTTGTAGCACGATTGCCGTCTGGGATAATGGTGGACTGGTAAGTTTCTGTCATGTTGAGGTTGTTGATGTCCGCAGTCGTACTTCTAATTATCTGGTTGGCATTCGCATTCATAGGGCTACCTTTCCACATCACCCATCACCTCTTCTCTTTGGACGTTTTATATCTCTATCTAAGGTCCGTGTCCACTTAGACGTTCACTCATGGGTTGGGTAGCCGGCAAAGCCGGCGAAGCTGGGGAGGTCGCGACCGATTGCCGTTTTAGGACTTTCAACACATCGCCAGCCAGAGGCATTCATTCCGCAGAAACTCAATGATGTCGAGATGGTTTTAGCTCTTTAGAAGTAAAGTTGCTTTTGGAGAGCGATTAGAAATTCGAATACGGGTCCGAGGACCCGGTATGCACAAGCCAAACTAATCGACAACGCTTGATAGGCTCTCAGAGTCAAGATGACAAAGGTTATTTCTCATATATGAAACTGAACTCAAAGAGAGCATCTGACCGCACTGTTCTTTGCCCCATCCCGATAAGCCGGCTTGACAGGTCTTGACTGATAGTCCAAAATGCCATATTGGCTTCCCTGTCATGGACGGTACCAATCAATATGCATTGAGCGGGAGTTCATGAAGGATCGATAAAGCACAGGCAGCTAGAAGGCTCTCCCTCAAACACTGACATTAGCACTCAACCAGCTCTCAGGCGCAAACCATATAAGCGCCAGTATTTCGATAGACGGCCCGAGATGGCCAGAACATCCCCGACGGCTTTTTAGGACTGCAGCTTTCGCTCGCAGTTTCCACGTCGTCGTTCGCACTCTATGAGGAAGCGCCAGCATTACAGCCGCGAACACGGCCTTGGTGCTTCAGTGAAGGCAATCGGAGGATAGCATAACCTAAAAAGCTCCAACCTAATAATAAAGCACCACCACCTTCTTCTTTCTCACGTCATTCTTACCCTCCTCAACATCCAGTCCCTCATACAATACCCCTCAATAGACTCAACCCGAATCACAAACCTTTTCAACACTGATCCCAAGCTCAGACGGCCTCCTTATCAACCCTCACCCTCGGGAAGTCGGACTTTTCCTTTTCTGCCAAATGACCTTGGCATCTTCGATCTCAGCGTCCTCGCCATCGTCCACTCTCATGCTGACTCTTCATAGGCTGTTGTCCTTGACCCGTACCTCCCTTAGTGAAGACCCTATTTCCCTGAGTGTGCTGAAAAGAACCTAATACGATACGTAACACCTTGTAGGAATTCTCAACGTCAATCAACAACTCTCTCCTAATTTCCTGGCCTCGTTCGTCCCGTAACCCCGGTAATTATCAGCGCGCAATCGACTTTTGTCGGAATCGCTTGTAACTCTTCCGTCCGAGCTTCGAAATGAGCTTCCCCAGCTCGCTGAGTAGAAATGCCCATGGGCTCCGAGATCTTGCACAAGACGCCCATCAGTAACACCCCAAGGCCAACAAGCTACTACAGAGAGAAGGCGAGGATATATAAAATACGAGATTGTTCTTGTCTTCTGATAGTTTCTCGAGAGAATAAGCCCAAAACATGTGGATATAGCTGTGGTGCTGTTTTTCACCACGGTCAACCTACGATGACCTGTCTAGTATGCAGGCTCCTGAATGCATCCGAAAATCCATCCTCTTCCTTCTTTTTCAGATCCGCGGATAAATCTGGCTCACCGAGAAGCAATGTCTTACCCGCCACTTTCCAAGCCCCCTTTTCATTCTCGTTATCTGCCGGTACCAGCAACCAAGCTCTCATCCATGCGCAGTCTTCCTGCAGCAGATCTGTAGGCACTGCCACCCTCATTCGAGTGTCGATATCACTCTCACGAAAGTTCTTTGTGAAGCTGAAGCCCGTCAGCAGTGCGGATCTCCCATTGCGTGCACAGGGGAGGCGCAGAGCCATAGTCGAGATCCAGTAGATGGATCGCGAATCCGTAATCCATGTCAGAAATGCCGTGGCAACTTCGACTGTGATTTGGTCTTCACCCTCAACCCCGCCCTGGTCGCTCTTGGCGAATGCATTGATCAACCTTTTCGCGCTAGGGAGGAGATCCTCGTTGACTTTGAAGTTTGCAAAAATGCCCGTGTTGTAGTTCCACTGCACCACTTCACGATCGAGCTGGACCCAAAGCCGATTCAGCAAGTCTGGGCCACTCGACAACACAGCAGCAAGGAACCGTCTCCGTGGCATATCCATATTCTCTTCAGGCTGGAACTCCGGCATCTTGACCTGCGCTTTGAGTGGCGGCGGGGTATTCCGTATGATGTCTGGAAAGATGGCATATGTGCGCCGGAGCTCCTCCTCCGAAATCCACAATACACCACGATTGAAAAAGACCATGTCAATTTCTATCTTGTTGAAGCTCACGGCATGGATGCCTCTGACGCCGCCCAATGTGAACTTGTTGAGCGTGGTGTCTGCCGCAGTGACAGGTCGAGCAAGCCATGATCCTTTTCCGTGGAATGTCAGGGGCTCCATGTTGGTGAAAGCAAGAGGCATCTTTTCGCCTGCTGCTAGAGCCAGCAGAACTGCCAGAAAGTACACCTCGTCCACTGTTGGCTCCTCGGATCTGAAGAATGCCAGACCAAGTCCGATGAGGTTGAGGCACACGCTGAGCCTGTCACCAGGCATCAGGCATCCCGTCTGAGCGATGGCGTTGAACTTCGCCATGAAGCTGGACCTGACCACGCCGGCTTTGCCTCCCGGGTTATCAAATTGAGGAGACGTCCGATTCGCGAACCCGGAAAGGATTGGGTTGAGGTAGACGCTGCGTTCATTCCGATGGCCAAGTTGGACTGTGATCGTTGCCAGGATGGCGTGCAGCGTAGTCCACTCTACTGTCACAGTCCTGTCTTCGCCAAGACCCAGGATGAAAACGGTATTGTGAACTCGTTGATGTCGTTTGTCACTCCAAGGCTCAGCAACGACGAACTCATGGTAACACCATGAACGCTGCCACCACCGCGCAGCGGCCACTTTATCGTAGAGTGAAATGAGCAGCGAAACTTCCCTATCGTCAGTCGGACCTTTTTCAAGTGCATACGGAGACCGATAGCCATCGTATATTTCAAATATCTCAGCCTCGTCGTTGGTGAGCTCGACATCCTCCAGAAGTACGACCAGCTTGCGGCAAGATTTGTAAACGACGTCCATTGATGCGATAGCTCTTTGTTGCTCGAACTCATCGCGTTGGTTGATGCAAAGCTGGTCAATCCATATTCCTTCACGCGGATGGCCTCGTAATTCCAGGATTGCGTCGGCAAAGCGTTTGCCAACTGGCCACACCCCTCCAGGTTCTGGAACCGACTGAGGTGTCCCCGGCCAACTCGGGTTGTGCCAACTGTAACTGATGGCTAGAAATTGTCGGATCACGAAACGACTGTCGAATGGGATCCCGGTTGGGCTCGAGCAAAGCAGCCGGAAAGGAGTGTCGAGAATGACGTCTGAGGTGCGTCGCTGGAATCGTTCTGCAGCTTCTGCGGACCATGCTTGAAGGTTGTTGAGAATGAGGTCGGCTTCACCGCGGCCTGAATCTAAGTTGCCGATGGCCTCGGAGAAGAGATTGAACTTGTTGTCTCTGGTTAATGAAAGCTTGAAGAGATCGGCCGAGAGTTGTTCGACTTCGAGAGTCTTCCCAGCTTGTGCCGGAGTGTGTTCGATGAGGCCGGTCATATTTGATAGTCTACCACGAGCTAACTGCGTGGATTTCTGTTGCCAAACCAGACCTGAAGTGATGAGCCGCGAAAGGACTAGAAGGATAGAATGGACATGATATTCGTGATGTGGTGTGGCCAAGAAGAAGTGAAGTGCGGTGTGATATTCTAGTCTGTCCCCTCCCAGAAGTGTGTGGGTCGTATGTTCAGCTGAGTATCCGCAGCTCCTCGATGTGTGGTGTGATCGCCAGGCTGCAGCAAAGCCTCAAACGGGAATTTGCGACTCTTTCTGGTTAGTAGTTCGGCCAAGCCTCTTTGCCTCAAAGCTAATCATGACCCAAACACTCAGTCCATGTCACAACCATGGTCTGCTCAGCCCAACTCTATTTGAACGTTTTCCAAACACCATCGCGATGGTTTGAAGCAAAGCTCATCGAAATAATTCTCACGGTGGTGCAGGCAAGCCAAAAAAAAAAAAAAAAAAGTACGATTATGAGTTCATTGAGCCTAGGATTGTAAATACAGACTTGATAATGTATGTACGTGTGAGCCTCGCAGCGGGGTATTCCAACCTGACCGGGTTTCACACTTTGCTCAGAGATAACGTAGCTCGCCTTACCGAGTCCACCACTGCGCCCTCACAAGAACCAGCGGAAGTGAGGGCTCTTAGGTCCATCGCCCAACTTCGATGTCGGGACTTCACTAGCAGTCAAGGTTACACCCTCGGCCCGGTTTCTCTTTCGGTTATCCCACATCATGAAGAATCCCAGAGCAAGCGCGCATGAGGCACCAGCCACGCCGAATGCCGCCGTTGTGATCAATGCGGGCGCGTATTTTGGAGCGTCTGGCTTGCGGAAAATGTTGCTACTCACAAGACCCATGAGGTTGGCCAGTGGGACACCGATTGAAGTCAAAAGCACACCTGCAGAATCGACATTAGTCTCCGTTAGGGGACCAGAATTCGGTTATTTTTACTTACGCTGATTTTCGTTGACAACATTGTTGTTGTACCAAGTCGACAGAAGCACACTCGGTGCTGAAGTTCCCCAGGTCATCATGAAACAAGCGTAGTACGCGAGCTTGATCTCAGCTTCGACATCGTCAATGGCGGCGTAGATGATAAAGCCGATGAATGTGAGCATGAAACCCAAGGCGATGAAAGGGAAGCGAAGTCGTCGCCAATCCGAGAGGAATGCGAGGATGAGAAGCATGGCGGCACCACTGACGTTCGGAGCCACTGTGTAGAGGTTCGTCTTGATTGTGCTGTATCCCAGGCGCTGCACGATCTGGGGCATGAAGAGACCGACGCTCTGGAGCGGGACGCCGAGGCAGATTTCGATGGCGAGGAAGCCGAACTGGGTGAGAGCGAATTAGTAAGAATCTTCTTCTCGGAAAGTCAAAGTGTAACAACCAGAAGAAGGGGCAGATGCTTACCGTCGTCGGGTGCTTGAAAACTTTGGCTGCCTCTCGGATCTTCATCTTCTCTCCAACCACGGATGAGCTGTCGACTCGGATGCGGTGGTGAGCGAGCTGCTTTTGCTCCTCCGTGAGGAACTTCGCCTCCGCAGCGCTGCGTGGAAGATACCAGAACGCAAAGAAGGAGAACAAGATGGTCGCAGTGGCTTCAATGATGAAGAGCCATCGCCAAGGATGCAATTTGGTGTTGGTGATGTGGAATACACCGAATGCCAGAAGACCGGAAAACGCGTTTGCCTACGATGTGTCAATCGCGAAACTCACGAGTACGTCATAGGTATCAGAGGGGCCATTACGATATTGGAAGCGGCATAGAAGACAGCCAGTCGTCGCGCAAGCTCACCGCGACGGTAAAAGGTGGTGAGATAGTAGATGACCAGTGGGAAGAACGCAGACTCTGCCATGCCGAGAAACCATCGCAGTGCAAAGACACCGCCAAAGTTTTGCGCGGCAGCCATAAGCATCGTCATCGTGCCGAAGGTGAACATGAGAATCGGGAGAACGACGGCCGGGCCGAATTTCTTGCCGATGAGGGCCACGAATGGCGCGGCCGCGACGAAGGGCACGAAGAAGATGCTGACGATGAGGTTGTACTGGCCATCTTTGAAGCCGAGATCTGTGCTCAGGCCGTCGGTTTCGGCATTACCTAGGTTTCCCTTATCGAGTGCGTTGAACAGGTCTGCCGGACAATTACGTGTGAGCGATCACGAGCACATCCTCTCGCGACTGAAGACGAAATAAAGAGGCTACTTACACATCACGGCTAGCACAGGCAAGATGTGGAGGTCCAGCTTTCTGCACAGTGCCCTCTCGGCGGCCTTGTCGACAACCTGAACCACATCGTCGTCGTAGTCGTTCTTCTTGACGTTCTCGCCATCCACGGATCCATCGCGAAGTGATCCTTCAAGCCGTGTTGCCGGACTGATCTTGTTGTCCTTTGCAGCCTCCATTGTGTATCTCGCGGGCCCTGATGGCTAACACCACAGGAATGATGCGAAAGGAAAGCCCGAGAATCGTGGTTGAGAGACTCAAGTGATGCAACTCGAGAGGGAGAGGGACAAAAATGCAAGGTTACAGTTACCCCAACTGGGACATTGCTGTCCGTGCCTTAGTAGACACATACGACACATAAGCTTCGGATGGAGTTTGTTGGAGTAGCATTCGCTGATCCAGCATATCTTTTTCCTGATTGACGTATCTCTCATCCCGGTCATCTAGAATCCTTGTGGCTGGTTCGTAAATATGAGAGACAAGCTCGTTGGTGGGCAGAGATAAGAGTGATACTCCAAGTGGGGTCATACATTCACGCGCACTCTCTTTGGGTATCCCATCTCTGCCATCCGTTAGCGAGGAGCTGTTCGACTGGGTGAGTTCCAGCCTCCATGTCAGCTCACGCTCGGCGAGGGGTTGCGACGGGAATATGTATTCCCACGTGGAGTGTTAACATAGAGTCAATGGAAGCCACAACCTCGAGTTCTTCAAAATCGAACACCCTACCGTGGACATACGCTGGTTTTCAGGTCTGGTATCACGCGCGGGAGGTCCTTAGGGCTCGATGTCAGCTGTTACCCCTCCGCTTCAGCTCCCACGACAGGCTGCTTTCGATCACTGCCCACGGCTTGGCATACCCATATCCTGTATTGGACCTCGTGCTTGGAAGTCATTGCTGAAGAGAATTGAAAGCAAACATGCCATATCTGCATTTGAGATATACGGTTTGATAAGGATGGATGCCGATGGCCTATAACATAGCAGCCCATTTATCAATCTGCACCCCGCAATCCACAAAGCTTGCAGCGACTCCATCATAGTGGGGCGAGCCGACGAGGACTGAAGAGCCGAACAAGCGGCCTCCGGCCCTGAACACGAAGTGGCCGGTGATGAGTGGTCCGTGGGGGTACAACTCTTGCTCAACACATCCTAGGGCGCGAGCATCTCGTAATAACAATTATCTGGAATGACGTCCGGATCAGAGACCAACCCGAGAATCAGGGACAGAAACACGATTCCGAAGCGACCCACAGGTGAATGCTTAGAGAAGATAAGGATGAGCTACCCGGGATGTTGAAACGTTGCAATCCCGCTCACTTCAGGATTGCGGGGTTGATAGGACGATCCCTCACAACTCTCCGCGGGCAGCTCGAGCCTATCCGAGAACGGAGAATTCGACGGACACTCGTGTCCCAGAGAAGACGATGCTCACGATGAGTGTGATGGATTGTCGATGGGGTCTGTGAACGACTGGTAGCTTTTATGATGGATTCTTAACCGAGAGTTGGTCGACGGAGAGGCAGTGAGATCAACTCTTGCACTCATGTAAAAACATACCATTTAGAACCGTACTCAAGACATTTCAGCACAAGATACTTACTTACTTACTGACCATCATGTCATCCTCAAAGACCCCCGTTCTCACCGATAAGGCCCCTAAGCCCCTGCCCGGCATCTACAGCCAAGCCATCATCGCCAATGGCATGGTCTTCTGCTCCGGCGCCGTTCCCATGGACCCGGTGACCATGAAAATCATCGACGGTGACGTTCAGGCACATACGGTATGTGCATACTACAACACTCACCGATCTGCAACCCTATGATGCCTCTCAATCGAACACCGATGTCGCTCATCGCTAACTGGTCACTTTAGCACCAATGCATCAAGAACCTAACAGCGGTCCTAGAAGGCGCCGGTACCACCATTGACAAGGTGGTCAAGGTGAACGTCTTCCTCTCCAACATGGATGACTTTTCTGCGATGAATGAGGTTTATTGCACATATTGGGGTGACCTCAAGCCCTCCAGAACGTGAGTGTGATGCCTTCGCTGGGTTCATCGACAATGCTGACTGAAATACTTTAGTTGCGTTGCGGTCAAGACCCTTCCACTGAATGTTGACGTGGAGATTGAGTGCATAGCTGTTTTGTAAATTAAAAGAAGTTATATTCAATGCAAAAACTATCGAGCATGTCGAAAAGATGTTCAGGGAACATGAATAATGGCCAGGGTGAAATGCGAAAACCGTCACCCTGAAGGACCGCGCATCAGCACACTCTCCATCATAATGAGTCCATCGCATCAACAGCAAGCACGCCTTGCGTCGGAAGTGACTGGCCTAATTCGGATCGGGGATCAAGTTGACGTTTATCTACTGAGTCTTACTGATTTGATTGATATCTCGTGTGCCTTCCCTCACAGCAGCTCTATAAGCTTGTCGCAAAAGTACGTGATGGCCCTCCTGCCATCTTCCAACGCCTCATCCATCGCAATGAACGGATGCGGCTGCCCCTTCATAATATGCACATCCGTTTTAACGCCCGCACCCTGGAGCTTCTTCCCAATAGCCTCGCCCTCGCTCCTCAAAACATCAAGTTCGCCGACTACCACGACAGCAGGAGGCAACTTGGACCACTCGCCTTCCCACAGAAGCGGGCTGGCCTCGGGGTCCGCCCAAGTTTCTCTGTCGGGGAGGTAATGGTAACGATACCACATCATCTTCTCCGCTGGCAAGGCGGGCGTGAACTCGTTCTCCATCCAGGATGCGTGCTCTGGTTTCGTCGAGTCGACTGTGGCGGTGTTGTCTGCAACGGGGACGGATAGCAGCTGTGTTGCTACGGTCGGGAAGTCCGGACGCTTTGTTGCACGCTGGCAGATGATGGCTGTGAGGTTTGCGCCTGCTGATGAGCCTCCGATCGCGATGCGCGAGATGTCGAGGTTGAGCTTTTCGGTGCCGGCTGTGGAGATGGCCCAGAGGACAGATTCCCAGCAGTCGTCGACGGCCGCAGGGAAAGGATTCTCTGGTGCCAGTCTGGGAATGAAGGTTAGTAGGCTCTCTTGCAACTCAGATTGCAGTCACTGCGTCGTCTTTTGCTGTAGTAATCAAGTACTTACCTATAGTCTACGCAAATTACAACGCTTTTCGCCCGGTTGCAGAGGTGCGAGGCGATGACATTCTCCGTGTCAATGTTGCCCAAGACCCAGCCGCCGCCGTGGAACCAAAAGCATAGTGGCCATCCCTTGGTCGGTCTTTCTCCCAGCGGCGTGAAAGCCCGCAGGAGGATGTCAGGTCCGCTGGTTTCTTTCCTCGAAATGGTGAAATCCTCTGAGCTGGCGACCTCGAGCTTGGGACCCGCTCCGGGGATCAGAGTACCGCTTGCACGAGACGCGGAGATGGGCTGGTGGTGAACAACTTGCTTGTCAAAGACGAACTTGTTGTAAAAGTCCTTGTACTCGGGGTTGATGCGGTCGACGACCGAGGGGTGCAAGGGATAGGGCGGCTCCGGCATGATGGCAATGTTTTCGTAGAGAATATCGAAGGGGGGTGGTATTTGGTCAACGATTTGTGGGAGGCGGCCCTTGGATCGCTGTGATGCTTCACTTCTCAGCTGTGCGAAAGCGGATGGCTCAAGCTGTCGGCAACATGCCGTCTTTAGCCGGCAAACTCCTCCGAGCTCCGGTCACCGGCCGGACGCCTCGTTCACCCAACGTTGCCAATGTGACACCCTGCCCGAGGGTCCGTCGCTGGATGATCAGTCTGTCACCAACGGCAAGATTATGCTGGGAGCTTTATCGGTGAGTGGAGCAGTCGGGAAGTTTAAGTTCAGGCCCGACGTTGCTCTCAGGGTCAATTTGCGTCATGCTGCCCCTCCAAACCCCGCAATGCTCAAGATATTTTACAACAATGGATGAAGATGCACTTGTGAGCGTATGGAAACAGACTAGAAAGCGATATTGAGCAGCTGAATGGTTTAAATATGCTTCAGACTCATCTCCAAATCAGGTCAGCCAGACGACTGGAGGTCCTATTGAATTCAGGAATAAGAAGTAGGTTCCTAGCTCTAGCGCTTGCTCTCATCCAGAGCAGCCTCACCATGTCAGCACTCAGTCGATACACCGAAAAGAAGCCTAAGCTGTCTTGCATTCGAAATGGTATCGTTTGGCCCGTATATGGCCAGGTCATGACAGTGAACAGTTCCAGGTTGGAAGGAAGTCCTCCAGCTTGCCGAGTTCTAGTCCATATTCAATCACCTGGCGGGCATCCAGACACGTCCCGGGACAAGCAATTTTTAGTCCAGCTTGATTCAGTAAGGTGCCTCGTGTATAGCTGACAGATGTCGGCTGGCGAAAACGGAGAAAAGACGAACATAGCAGGCATGCTTACCCAGAGAAATGCCGCCGTCAAGCAGCAGGTGCTCATGGTCACTTCTTGTAACGACGGACAGGCACCTTGGTGAGATCGATGGCGAGAAAGGTGGTCTTGAATAACATGATCTTTTTATTCGCACAAAAACGTAGATGCTGCACGGGTCACTGGCTCCTCGATCTGTTCACGTGATTGAGCGATTCTACTCCCACTTGGATCTAGAGCGCCACCAGAAACAATCGTCGTGGTCGTGAAGCTAGTCGCACTGACTGGTTTGCTTCAATGACGGTCGCGTCGCGGCGCTACGATGTTCATTGAATCAAAATCTCAGGTTCACCATCGACTTATCCTGCGCATTTCCAAGCCAATTGATAGGTCACAGCAATGCGATAATCATGTGTCCACCAAGCACTGGTAGCTGCTACTTGTGCCCGTCTCGGTCATGGAAATTTGACATTGACAATGGTGTAGACCTTACACAGCTCTCTGAGCCTCACGACATCCCGTATTTGTACCAAGCTTTACTGGCTTTCTAAATCGCCTCCTCGAATCGCATACGTGGCAGGGAAAGTCGTGTTGTATGAATCTCCGGTGGGCGCGAAGAACGGGAACGTCGTGAACGAAATCATGCAGACGTCGACACGCCATTTTCATTGAGAAATATCAGGCTAAATCCCCCCAAATATCCTACAATGTTGTCTGGTCGGCTTTCGCATCGAGTCGTGGGTCTCTTTAGATGTCATCACTTCCTTAGTCCACATCGACACCAAGCTTCCGCAGGTCGACGACGGCCTCCTCAATCTCGGCCATGAGCTCCTTGTGCGCCTCGGGCACATCATTGAAGGTCATGACGTTGTATCCGAGCTTGGCGAGGAGGTAGGAGCCGAAGGAGATCAGGGCCCAGAAGGGCAGCTGTGCGCACGGAGTACAGGTTAGCAAGGTTGGGTCGAGTCGCAGGGGTTGCTTTTGAGAGTGCGCTCGCGGTTACGTACAACGGGAACAACGTCGTTCTGGATCTTAGCGGGAATTGGAATGAGCTGGAGGAAAAGTGCGAGGTAGAGCTACAAGAGAAGATTGACGTTTAGCAGGTGCTTCAGAGAGAGGTGGGATGGCTCTGGACACAAGGGAGGGAGGGGTCGTACCGAGCTCACGAGGAGCGCAAGAGAGATGGTCTGCTGGGCGCGGGTCATGTTTGCGGGTGGTGTAGAAAGCCTGATATGATCGATGGTGTGAGATAAGACTCGAAGCTGTTGTCTTTGCGCAGAAGCAATCGTGGCTGAAAGGAGTGACTGGAAAGCTGGCGAAGAGGTGACGATTCTTGTGCCCTTGGAAGCACTAACAAGTGGAAAAGGAGTCGCGAAGCTGTCCTGAAATCTTGGTGGAGCTCTGAATGACTAAGCCCAGCTCAGGCCATGTGGGATGTAGGTACGTATCCCTGCATTACCGCACTTTACGCGATGGACCCACCTGCGACGATGGCAGGCGCGACCTCTCCGGTTCCTTCCCTCCACTCATTGCTGAGCAATTCCAACAAAATGACAACTCACTTGAACTGTTCATGCTTTTCTTACAAACTCGTCGAAAATAATTCAAAAAACCTACACTCTATGAGTGCGAGCCTCTGGGAAGAGTCGTTTCGGCATAGGATGACCCGTCAAGAAACCTAGCCCGCTCGAGTCTTAGTTGCCATGCACCCATGTGAATGAGGGTGTTCACCAGGGAAACAGGTATTATCATGAGACTTTGCCATGATTCAAGCCTAAAGTTTAGCCTACTGAAAGCAAAGTCCGAATTCTATCAAGGTGCTGTATATGTGTCGAGTAAAGCAGGTCAGTTCCGATAACTACGAACGTAATATGCTTCGTTAGACTCAAACTGAGGTAAACTCATGTTTGCCGCGTTGCCGGATGCTTGACCCTCGATTGCCGTCGCGAATACATTGACATAGGATAACGTGCTCAGGAACTCAGAACTCGCACCAATCACATCACACACCACCTGCTGGTCGCTGTCGGGATGGGCTTGTCATGAGGCTTGGGGACGACGATGATGAGGGGAACTGGTCAGTGCAGGAACACGCAACCTCTGTAACTCTATTACACGCTTCTATGGAACAAGCTTTTGGGGTTTAATCTACAACGAACTGGAAAAAGACTCGATGACATGTTCGCCCGGCCGTCCGAAGATGGCGGGGATGAAGTGCGTGGCAGACCGCTCGATTATTACGGCTGAGGGGTTCCCGAGGTCAGAAGCTTAATAGACAACATCGCCGCGCTCGAAGAGAATGACTGCATCTTTGACGTCTTTGTCTGTCTGTTCCCAAATGTAGCCGACGTCAAAATGTATATCATCAGCTTTCTTGCTTGCGCTTCCGGGCTCTTTGGCACGGCACTTGGCGACTTTGGCCTGACGACTTCAGACAGCACATACACGATCGATACCAACGGTGGACTAGTATTCGAGGTTAACCGGTATGAGAGATGAAGAACTAATCAGCCTTCACCATACTTGAGCCTTGGGAAGCTGACAGGAAATCCAAGCACAAATGGCGACATCACCAGTCTACTCTACAACGGTGTTCAGTTTCAAGGCACAAGCAAGATGTCACAGATCAACTCCGGTCTGGGAAACTCAACGATCACGGCTGACACTATAAGCGGGCACGTCAAGATCACCGTGAAGGCTGGCTCACAACCTTTGACGCACTATTATGTAGCTAAGCCAGGCGATCCAACCATCTACATGGCGACTCATATCACAGGCGAGATTGCTCTTGGTGAGTTGCGCTGGCTCGCACGACTCCAGCGCAAGCAGGTACCAACCGGAGTGCATGGCGATGTTGCCGACCTCGATGGGTGTGTGGCATTCCAAGGCAAAGATACGTTCAAGTGCCCGGATGGCACTACGAGATGCAAAATGTACACATCCGACCGTTTCATTGAAGACCAGGTCCACGGTGTGACTGGCGATGTGAGTGAAAGAAGCAGAGCAGCCGAGGGCCAAGTGACGCTAACAACTGTAGAACGTTGGGGTGTGGATGATTATGCCTGGCAATGCCTACGAGCACTCTGCCGGCGGCCCTTTCATGAGGGACATTAACTCGCAAAGCACCGGCGACCAGGAGCTCTACTGGTACATGAACAGCGGCCATGTGAGGACCGAGCCCTGGCGATTCGGGCTTCTTGGACCCTACGCAATGCGCTTCACGTAAGGGCTCTCCCCGTCCTCATCTCATCTAGGTGCATTCCTTGTTGACAAGTGACGCAGAAGCAGCACCCGGCCACCGCCAGCAGATATCGACATGAGCTTCTTCGACTTGTTAAACATTGATGGCTACGTCCCTGATAGCGGGCGCGGAAGTGTCTCCGGCACCGCAACAGGAATAAAAGGTAATTCTGAAGCTGTAGTACACTGGTTCAACCAGGACGCTCAGTACTGGACAAAAGCCACCGGCGGGAAGTTCACCTCTCCGCTGATGAAGCCTGGGACATACACGATGAAGCTATACCAGAACGAGTTTCCTGTTGCCAATGCTAGCGTGACGATTACAGCGGGCGGAAAAGCCACGCAGGACATCGTGGCAACTGAGTCCGAGCCGTCAGTCATTTGGCGCATCGGCGAGTTCGATGGGCAACCCTTTGAATTGAAGAACGGCGACAAGATTCAAAGGATGCACCCATCGGATGCTCGCATGGCGAGTTGGGGAGGCGAGTTCACTGTTGGCTCCTCCCAGAGCAAAGACTTCCCCATGGCCCTGTTCGCCAAGATTGGAGGTAACGCCACCGTCAACTTCGACCTGGCTGCCGATCAATTGGAAAGGGTCGTCTTGCGCATTGGAACAACGCTTTCGTTTAAAGGCGGGAGACCTAGTGTCAAGATCAACGAGTGGGAAGGAACCGATCCAGGCGCCCCAGTAAGTTAACATCATCACAATGATCGCGTGCGGATGCCTTTTTGGACATGCTCATATTCTAACATAATTCTTAACAGACACTCATCGACTCCCGAGGCGTGACTCGTGGTGCCTATCGCGGGTTCGGCGACGTGTACACTTGGGAGGTACCGGCGAGTGAGCTCAAGGCGGGACAGAACACACTTGTGATGGGAGTGATTGGGACGGGGGATGTCGACTTTCTGAGCGCCAACTATATCATCGATGCTATTGAGTTGCAGGGCAAAGAGGGGGCCAAGAACGGCACCTCGTCATATACTTCTAGATACCAGCGGCGTTATCGATTTCACCAATGAATATCGGCGGTTACATCCAGTCAACTAACTGGCTTTAGCCTTCTCACTTCCACAGCGTTCATCTGACATAGCCTGCCTCTCCGCAGCGCGGTTGCTCGCAGCTCCCATCAACTACATTTAGCGCAAGTGCCCAGGCGCAACTTCACTCTTGTAAGAAAGGTCCGGCCTGACCAGGTGTTGTCAATGCCAATCGATTCGTGATCTTTCAAGTGAATGGAAAGAAAAGAAAAGGAAAGCGGAGCCACAATACCGCAAGAGAAATTAGCAAACACAGATATTGCACAACTGGAGTCCAGACTTGAAAGTGAAAACCTGTCAGTTGTGCTTACATGTACCATGCGTCAAAAACGTGCTGAAGCCTCAAAAGCTTCCGTGTAATGATAGCCAGCAAAAACCATGGATGTACAATTTCCGAAACCGAGAATCGAACTCGGGGCTATGCCTAACCTCTCGAAGAGATGAGAGGGCATCATGTTGGCCACTACACCATATCGGACGCGACGATGGAGTCGTGGTCCACCAGTGGCTCTCATAGACCCCACCCTTTGCACGGAGTCTTTCCCACAATTTCAGCGTCTTAAGTCGGCCGGCGTCCCATCCTTAAAGGTGGCTGTTCTTTACTATGTTTCACTGTACCTTGCACTTTACTTGGAATTATGGAGGTTTATAAGGTGTTGTTATGTCTCCTTTTCTTGGTGTAGAAAAAAATGATAATATTTGCTCTTCCTACTTAATGTACGGAAAGTTCAAGACTCCAAAATGGCATTTCCAAGTAACCAAAAGATCATGAACCAACTGTCAATGTCGAACTGCCAATAGATCTTGTTGTCGTACTCGTCTGCCCCGCCTGTTGTCTAAGGGGAACCTCGTCGAGTTCCCATTCCCACACCTCCACACCTCCCCCAGGAGCCCTGATGGCAATTTTGTACTTCCCTTCGAATTGACTGACGGTAGCTTGCCGTCCCAAGTTGGTAGGAACCTTGAGGTGCTTGCGGCCGAATAAACCATACCACACCTCCTTGACTACCTCTAGTTCTTTCTTGTGTGGGAATGGGTTATGATACCTCCGTCTGCTTCCCGTGGCGAAGTTGAAAAAGTCAATACCATCTCCATGTGTCATCAACGCACCACAATCAAAAAACACCGTCGGCCAGAAGCCTTTAGGTTTCCCTTGCTCATGTTCTTGTTTCACGTAACCACTGTACTCAGAGTGAGTGACCCGGTCTTTCTCAATGTCCCAAGCAATGCCCATGACAGACCCGTTGGGCACGTCTGGGATCCAGAACAAGACACGATGTCCATCATCTGGTTGCCGAATAAGTATGAGGCCGATCGCCAAGTTGTCGCACTTATCCTCCTGTCCAAGTCGAAGGATCGAGTTCTTGGCTTTGACTGAGCCCGTCAATGTCTCCAAGCAGACTGCATTGCCGTCCTTCAGCAGCGCGACGGCGACGTTGCCCCAGATTCCAATCCGGCTGATTTCTGCTTGCCCAGGAATCACGGCCAGCTTTTCATGCTTCCACTTCGGCTTTTCTGACTTCCATATAGAGTGTTTGTCATGCCAGAATACCACAAGTCTTTTCCCGTCAAGATGTACTGGGTGGAGTGTGATCCAGTCCTGGTAAGGCAGGTATACGTCCAGAACTCGCTTACATTTTTTCCAATCCCATATAGAGGCGCCCACTTTATACTGATGAAGTATGACGTATTCTGAATCATGGCCGCAGATGGACGCCGTTTTGATTTTGTAGATATCCCACGAATGGGACTTTTTGGTATCGAGGGTGCCCAACTGCTTTCCGGTTTGTGTATCCCATACAACTACATTGGAAAGTCCATCTACGCCTACGAGATGACGCCCCTTCGATCTGATGTAGTGTATGCTGTTGCTGTACGTGAGTTGGTGTATCTTGGTAACTTTCATCGGCCCGATGTCCCCGATGGTGTCGTTATGCATGACAATTCCACCGCCCACTGATTTAGTTTCCGGAAGCAGCATCCGATCATGGGCATTTGGTGGCAAGTCCTGTAGCAAATCGTCACAAACGCTTTCGGCGTAGGATGTGAGGGATTCCAGCCAGAGGTCAATGGTATTGCTGTTGGCTACATTGATTTGCCGATTTGCGCCCACGGCTTTGCGAATCCTCGCTATTTGCAGAGTGACATCGGAAACTTGGCGCAAGAGGTTCGTTGTGTCCTCTTTGATCAGACCTGCGTCGTTGCGAATGACGACCGTATCATCCTTGATCGCTTTTGAAGACACACTGCGAACGGTCAACATCAACCTCGATAATAACATGAAAGTTGCGGCCAAGTTGCGGTAAAGTTGCCTACAGGTTCGCTAGCTCAAGAGCCAAGTTTAACGAGCCCTTGTGCGTCTCAAGCATCGTTTTCAGCTGATTCACAGTTTCCCTGCCTCCCATCGCCCACCGCGCAGGCCCAGTTCGGCCATCGTGATTATCGAGTTCCCCAGCGATCTCGGTTGTCACACCCAAACAGTTCCCAACAAGGGCCAAGACATGCTTTTCAAAGGCAGCGGGTAAGGAGGCCTTGGTGGCAGTATCATCGATGAGAAGCTCGAGCACGATGCGCAGATCGGACAGTTCTCTGCTGACAGCGGCGAGATCTTCGCGCGCATCGCGACACGTTCGAACAAAATTCGTCACAGCCTGTGCCGTCTTCCCAATTGCGCCAATCAATGTGATACAAGCAGTCGTGATTGAGAGTGGATCGGCCATTGCTCATTGAATCTGAAGATGAGAGGACAGAGAGTGTTCGCGAAACATCTTGAGAGAAGAAGGACTGACAGCGTCTCCATGACATATCGAGTAGGTGTGCCTCACGCTGCGCCTCGCCAATACTATTTGCTCAGCCACAATTCCTAGCATATAACTGCAGGCGAACCACAATGCATTAACAGTAGAATGTCGTGCTGACATGCAGGTTGAGGCAGAGCTAGGACGAGTGATAGGCGGCCTCTGTCTGCAGGCAGCGACTGGCTAGACCCCAAACAGTTCAAACCCATGTACAATGAATGCACACAGTGATGCGAGTCTCAATGTCAGATGTCGTCATGAGATGGCCTGGCTAAGAGCAGGCAACGCTGTTCCCCAAGCAGAGGATTTCAGTGTTAGAGCATAACAGGTGAGTTATATCAGCACAGATCCTTTTTGATAGATTTTACTCAGTCTAAATGAAATATAGCGTAAAAAAATGACCTCGCTTATGTCCGGCAAAGTGTTAAACACCAAGCGAAGCCATATCACGTCTTACTGTGAGTGAGAGCCTGTTTCCTCCCTCCATACTCCAAAAGCAAAGACAATTGCCGTCAACAGTTCGAGGTCAGCAAAACATTGGACACTGTGGGAATTGAACCCACGACCTTTCACAAGCAAGCGCAATTATTCATATCCTCTAGAGGATTGAAGTGAGATGCGAAGCGAAAATCATACCCCTAGACCAAGCGCCCTATGACTGGTGGCTGGTGGGCCTGTAGCATCCACTAAGATCCGCAATCGGATCAGACTGGGTCCTCGTGGAGTCGCACAGTCTACCCAGCCGGTCCTCTTGGAAACCACGGTCAGCTCTCAGGCCTACTGGCGAGCGACAAAGCATGAAATATTGCGTCTCCTCGGAGTTGGCGTGATAGTTGACAGCGAAGACGCGGAAGAGGAGGAACATGAGTCTGCGCTGCGTTGGTATCAGAAGTGGATCTTGATGCAGATGGGACTTGTGCATATCATCGGAGCAAACCAGTGCGGCATCACCACTCGTATTATTCCCGGGAGATGAGGAGATCTTCGGCCTAATCTGGAAAGTGCTATTGTCAAATTGCGATTAAGTGATCGACATTCCAGAGCACGGAAACTGAGACATGCTCAATTAGCCCGAACAGCCCCTGAGGTCTTCCATCTAGCCTGGGCCTCAAGTTTCCGGCTTGCCGGAATTTGACTGGTTCCACGAATCGAAACCAATGGAACAAGAACCGTAGCAGTGATAAAGAGTCGTCAGGTTTCGTCAATTGCTGTTCGTAGGAGCTTGACTCGGCAGTATTGCGATTTGACGTGGGCTTTGTTGTGCAAGGCCCTGAGACTGGATGGTTGGGGCTTCAGACCTTATTTCTTGCTATAACCAGCCTTTGGTAACAGCGGGAGTTGTCAACGTGGCAATTGGGCAGTCGCAGGGATGAACTTAACATCTCAATCAAAGTTATTACTAGCACATGTAGTATACACAGAAGCCATGTTTTTTTATTGATGCCTTCGCCCAATATTTTGATCCCGCTCCCCACATGGCGGTCTTATGAGGTTTGGGGGCCACTTCCACCATGGAATGCAAAACAACACCAACCCAACTGTTATGCTATTGCCTAGGTAAGGTCCAAATAGAAGCACGCATTCCACGATTTCCGCCTCGAGGCCGCATGTAACAAAATCAGCTGGGCCGGCTTTTTTGTGAGTTTGCCAACCTCTGTCCCTCTGCATTCACACACACAGAAGCATTTTAGTACGGTTTCCCTCGACAATATCGAGGTATCGCGAAACCACAACATCATGTCATACCGAGGCCCGGCGAAGAATCCGTTGATAGTGCTATCAGATGGAATATGGACTGGTCGAGAAGCCAGCTCAGAGTCTAACGTACACCGGCTGGCAAATTTGGTGTGGGGAGAATCAGGATTGCCCGGAGACGATGACTTCGCACACCTCCACCCCACAGGAAAGGCCCATTATGTCAACAGCGTGCCCGCAGGCAGCACTTTCATGGAGTAAAATACCCTTCCTTTACTATGTTCTTGAAGAGGATATCGCTAATCGAGGTCTTCAAGCCATGTAATCCACGGTCTCAACGTTCAAGACATCGAGCAGCAATGCATAGACACCTATGAGTACCTAGTTCACGGCTACACCCCACAAGAAACCGAAATTTGGTTGTTCGGTATTTCGAAAGGAGCCTTCATCGTCCGCTCCGTAGCGGGCATGATCAATAACTGCGGGATAGTGAAACCAGTCTACGGTCTGAACGGGGATATTGACGTTGACAAGACACATCAACTGTGCCAGGAGGTCTATCGCATCTACCGATGCCCGTCAGAAGCCAACAAGCCACAGTCAGAGCAATCACGCATATTTAGAAGAAAGCACAGCTGGGCATTGATTGGAGACGGAGACGTCGTCGAACCGCCGATTCGCTTCATGGGAATCCTTGACACGGTTGGAGAGCGCGGTATCCCAGAATTCGCGGGCGCAGTCGGCGTTGACTGGCCCAAGTTGCACGACCAGCACGTCTCGAGCGTTGTCTCCGAGGTCTACCACGCCGTCTCACTACACGATCGCCTGTACGCTTACCAGCCTTGTCTGATATCTCGCGACACAGAGTATGGACCTTCATACGGCATCACAGAGCGTTGGTTCCCGGGCACACACTACGATGTCTGTCGTCAGAGCTTCAAGATTGTGAGGGGTGTGCTGCCGCAGCGACTCGAGAGTGTTCTTCCGGCATGGGCTTGGTCTAGCAAGACGGTCAAACCGAACGAGGTCTTGAGCGATCTTGTCTTCAAGTGGATGCTGGAGTGCATTGACGCACATGATCCCTCAGGGCTTGTGGTACCGAAGAATACGCTCTACCGTGAGCTAGATGGGCTCAAGAATAGCATTCTGGAAGGGCAGAATACTGGCGATGGCGATGTCTACAACCACATCCTTCAATTTGCCCCTTTTGGACGGTACTTTGACCTGGCGTTGTCCACGGCCTTTGGAAAGTGGCAAGATAACCAGCTTTACAAGATGCTCTTTGCCTGCAGGCCTCGTCTGATTCCCGAGTTCAACGCGTCGGTGTACAATTACAGAGGCCCTGATCCTAATCTGGATGGAAGGATTATCCAGAAGCTGGCAAACCTCCCATCAAGTTCAACGCCACCCGAGAAGCAACCTGAAACGCGGTACCCATCAACTTCATACGATGGATGGCTTTTAAGGCGATAAGCCTGACTAGGGCTTGGTGTATTGTATAGGCTAGTGGAACTGAGGCGGGATCTGTGGAGGTTCAGGTCATGGCGATAAATGCACTGCTAGTGTCACACGGAAGCCATGCCGTGCTTGCATGAGCTCGCAGATAATTTCGCACATGTTCTTTAGAATTGTGTACTAATACCTAATTACGACTATGAGTTATCTCGTCTCAAATGAAGTTCTTATTGTCGCTCGTCTTGTGAAGTCGAAAATCTAAACGTTAAGGAAAATGGTCGTTAAGTCGTTATCAACACTCCGGGAGGCGTATCTGGCCACCCTTCCGCGTCCAGGGGCTGAATAAGCTCTTGGTCCACTCCCACGTATGAATGGCCATGCTCATCGTACCAAACAAGAAAAAGGGTATCAAGGTGTTGGCGATCATGTATAGCATACCGCCAGACCGCTTGACGATATCGTAGAGCTCGCCGCGAATGATGCGCAGAGACTCCTCCTCGTTCTTCCAGGGGCCCACAAGGCGGAACTTTGCATTGAAGTTGCTACCCATAGCCCAGGTATACAAAGCCTTGAAGCCTTTGGAGTAGACATAGCTGAATCGTGGTGCTGAGCCCATGTCAAGGGCCAGCTGGTATACATAGCTCTCGTGGTCGACGCCGCGCTTTTCGGCCCACGGATCTCTGCCACATCGGGGGTGGAGCTTCCAGTCGATATCGTAACCGGGAAGGGCGTTGGGGTCTAAAGTGAGTCCTTTCGACGGGGTTGCTAAGCCAGGGACGCTGGGGTACTTGGATCTGAGAAGTTGAAGGATCCAGTACTGGGTTTGCATCTCAGCGAGGGTAGGGATTGCACCTGGAAAGCTTTGTCAGAAGCAATACTCGGCGGAATCATCTGACGATGGACGACTTACCCAAATTCGGCCGCACGAAACCAATGAACCCTACTGATACATCATTGCTGTGGTAGATGGCTCGCACATCCGCTGTATCGGGTGTGCCATAGCTCTTGTCGAGGAAAGGGAAGCGGCGGGTATAGCCAGTTGCAAATAGGATGACATCAGGCTTCACCACCATCTGCTTCATCTTCTCCGACTCAGGTCTACCGGTATCGCGGAAGTGCAATACGCCATCGTCGTCAACATACTCAGGCCAAGGGGCAACGTCAATGTATCGACCCTTGGTGTCAACGTCAAGCTCCTTGATGTAGAAGAAGAATCGGCGAATCCGCTCCATGGCTGAAAGAGGCGGCCGCCAAGGCGCTGAGAGATACGGCACAGCACGTGTAGATTTGGCCGGGAAGACTGCAATCTTTGGTTAGCCGGTTCCTGGACATGTTGGTGCAGATGACTGCATACAGTGATCGATGTGCATCCTCTCCCGACGCATGCCGCCGACATGTTGGTCCCAGCCCTCAAGCGTTCCACCAATTAGCGAGAATGTGACGTCGATCTGTTGGTTGTAAAAATCCCAAAGCAGTTGGCTTGACTGCAGCTTCTGGGGAACGTATGCAGTGTCGAAGAGACTAGCGATAGAACAGTCAACGGGTTTATCGTTTACTTTGCTATTCTTGCCCCAGAACCCAAACATGATTGGTGTCGGTGCAGTCTATGACGAGTCAACATCAACTGACGCAAACAGGTTTCCAACATATCGAGGCACTTACCTTAGGCGCAACGACAAATCCATCTCGATGGCACATCACCACATGTTGAACGGTTTCTGTCGTCGCCGCGAGTTGACCGAGGTCCTGGCCAGTCTCTCCAGTGCCGACGATGACGACGGTAGGTTTATCGCTCTTGACGTCTCGTAGTTGATCTCGGCTCTTGAATTGCGATGAGTGAAGGACCTTGGGGACTTTCTCCAACCCCGGAATGTCAGGAATACGGGGTTCGAGATTGAGTCCGGAGCAGACCGCGACGGCGTCACAGTCGTAGTCGAAGGTTGTGCCATCTTTGCGGGTGACGGTGACGATATGCCCTCCGCCATCTACCCTTTCAGTACGAGTAACCTTAGATGAGCATTCGATGTGAGGTCGAAGCTCAAACCGGTCACAGTATTCGTTCAGGTACTGTACATAGACAGCTGGGGTGACATAATCAGCGGCATCTCGGGGCAGGCGGTGGTCGGAGAAGGCGGTTAGGTATTTAGACGAGACGAGCTATGGCCATGCTGTCAGCTTCAACAAACCTTTCTATCTTTCAGGTGGGAAAGCGTGGTGTGAGGAATAGACAGTGGGTTGAGTTCAGTAGTGGCAAACTTACTTCAGCATCCTCGTACACTCGATACTTGAACGTGCCTCCAATATCATCTTCGGCCTCAAAGACCCGGATCTGGATAGGTTCAATCGCGAAGAACAAGTGCGCCCATTTCAGATATCTCGCCGTCGCCAGACCCGCGGGCCCGGCACCGATGACAGCGACTTTGAGAGGCATGGTTGGTTAGCGTGCGTGGCCGTGAACTTTCAACGTGCCCTATCTGCAGGGTCCTCCGATGTTGTGAAACATGAAGGGACGTCTTTCAAGAAGGGGGCACCACCCTCCACCGCCACGAGAGGATAGCAGAAAGCGAGAAGGAAAGGGCACGAAGGATAGCGGGAAATTTGGTGAGGGAGTGGGAGAAAAGTCCGCTCATGAGACGATGTGGGAAAACGGTCGGGTCTTATGGCTTACCTCACACCTTGAACTAGCATCGTCCGCACAGACAACGTGGTACACCTTAGTGTAGGGACGATGGCGAACCTCGGTGGGTGGAAGGGGAACCGAAGGGGAGGGAGGTGTGGTAGCGAACAGGGAACGGTCAAGTTCTGGTTTGGGTCGGACCAGTCCAGTCTCGTCTCGTCTGGTCTTACTTTGCCTTCCCGAGTCTCTCGTTTTCCCGACAGCCCGTCAGGAGTACCGGTAACAGAGAGAGAACCCCTACTCCAAGACCAGGAATAGGAAGAGGAAAAGGACCGGACCTAACACCGAGCTAATGGTTCGGGTTCCATACGTGCGTATGGGCGAACCAGTCCGTCGGAGGGATCCTCTCGACCCTCCCATGCTAGTGAACCCAATTGTGAGGTTCGGTCGTGGTGGATAGACCTTGCCAAGGGTGCAGTAGCGCCACTTAGTCCCATGCGACAACGAGGTCTTTCCTTGTTCTCGTCATCAGACCCTCGAGACCTAAGCGGGGTACGCAATATCTCCAGCGGGGCGGTCCCCGCGAGAGGGATCGGCTCTTGTGTGGTGTGGGGTTTTTGGATTCCATTGTCTTAGATTGGCCGAGGATGTCGTCTTTCCTCTCTTCGGGAATGTGATATGTGGGAACCTCTCATATCATTTAGGACCCCCTCTGCCCTCTGGGTCCGGTACTTGAGAGTTGGGACATGTGGAGTTACCAGTGTTTATGGATACCCTGTGGGATATGCGTCAAGGTATCACTGCTAGGACTTGCAATCGACAAAATGACTTGTCCCATCCGGCCAACTTTGCGAATCGGTGACCACTCGGTCTGGGCCCGGCGTTCATTTTGGCTCAGGTCTCAGGGGCACAAAGACAGCCGCCATGCAGCGCCGCGGCGTAGCCCCAAATGCTGCAAGACAAAGCGTAACGGCGCCCCCGGTGGTTCCGGCGATTTCGTCCGGGCTAATCTGGCGTGAGTCTGGCGCGTGTCTGGGTGCGCCTGGCATCCTCTGGCCCAAGCTGCGTTGCCACACCCGCGTCGCCGACTCGAAACTCAATCTGCTGTCATGTCTGTCATTTTGGAATACGGTGTGTGATGGGCGAGCCGTTTTACGTGCGTACTTTTGTTTGTGATAACTGGCTCTTCGGCTAATGTCTGTCACATTTCTGCAAACATATCAACTTCCATGACGGCGTCACATCGTCAACTCTCCACGTCGAAAAACTCGCACCGTTCTGACCGCCACTTCGATTCCGAAACTTGATCCTGTCAATCGGACCCGGACAACTGGGTCATTAAACATCCTCCTCGGTCAGGGAGACCTCCACCTGTCCTCAAACTTCATTGGTCTCGGCGCCGTAGCATGAGTCTCTTTTCGCCCCTTTCGTCACCTTATGGCCGAACCACCATGATGTCCACATGCTGCATTGGTCTGTTGTTGCATAGTCGTTATCCACAGCTTCAAGAAGTTTCCCTGGACTCTCCTCCACCGCTGGTTGAGCGCTCCCCCTCTTCGTCGCCAATGATTTTTCTACGATCACCATGATCCTTGCCCGGAGCACATGCGGCACATCCGCAAATCCCGTCCTGCTTGCGGATAGTCCCGCGCGTTCTAAGATGGGGCTGCCAGTTGACTGCACTGCGTTTTGCTGACGAGTCTTGACCAGTGAGACAGGAGCCAAGATGTTAGGATCCAGTTTGCGAAAGTCGTCTGCCAGGATCCATGGCATGCTCTGGTCTCACACGTATTTGTAGATAGTAGCGAGACACTAGGCGCCGACATCCACTCACTAGCGACTCGCGTTGATTACGGCGCTGGGAAGACAACCCCTGCTGATAACCAAAGATACGACATTTCACGACTCATTGAGTGCGTAGATCTCAACGGCACGATGAACACAGAGAAGCCGCGAGCTATGCGACAGAATTTTGCAAGAGTTTCCATTATCATTGTTGTTGAATACTAAGCGGAATCTGATAAGTCTGGTACCCTCAACGACCAGCGTAGGGTTTCTGTTCTCGTCCACCTCTAGACTTCACCACTTTGATGTCGCGAAACTCGACAAACTTTTGACCAACCTGACCCTTGAGCATGTAGGGCTTGAAATGGAGAAATACTGTTGTAGCTAGGGTGGAAGCTCGGCAACCGTCGGAAATCCATCGCATTGCGCGGGCGAAGGCCCCATTGGTCTCATTCGGACCTGGCCGCCCCCCTTTGCCCTCTCACCCACTACTTTTCTGAGGTTGTCCAGTGCTAATTCATCTTTTCGTCTCGTCTCCCTCGGGGGTTCTTCCATAACTAGAGGCTCATCACTGCTCACCGGTATGAAGAACCAAGGACGAGCAACCCAGTTGGGC